ATTGAGATTTGGGTCAACACCTTGAACTCTGTCATGTTCCTCAAACCTTTCCTAAAGAGTTTTTTTGCAGTGTGGCAGGGAGTGTTATCCTGCTGAAAAGCCATGAAGGGCTGTACGTGGTCTGCAATGTTCAGACAGGTGCTACGTGTCAAAGTCACAACCACATGAATGCAGGTTTCCTAACAGGACATGGTTACACTGCCTCCACTGTCTTGCCTTCTTTGCAAAGTGCATCCTGCTGCAATCTCTGTCCCAGATGCACAGCAATGTACAAGAAAACGTGACTCATCAGACCAGGCCACCTTCTCCCATTGCTGCATGGTCAAGCCCTACAGCTCAAATACCTTGGTGCCTTCAGAAGCATGGTCACCCATCTGCAGCAAAGTGTGGTGCACTGTGTTCATCTTTCCATCATAGCAGCATGAAAGTCAGGTTGTGCAACAGTAGCTCTTCTGTGGAATCAGACCACACAGACCAGCCTTCACTCCTCCTCATCAATTAGCCTTGCATGCCATGAGCCTGCTGCTGGTCCTTCTTCGGACCACTTTTGGTGGATGCTAACCACTACATACCAGCAACACCACACAACACCTCCAGAGATGACTCAGTTGTTTAGTCATCACAAGTTGGTCCTTGTCAAAGTCTCTCTTATCCATATACTTCCCCTTTTTCCTGCTTCCAACATATCAACTTCAAAAACTTCGTGTTCACTTGCTGCATAATACAGTTGAAACCAGAAATTTACATACACTGTATAAAAAGACATAACACCTTTTTATTTCTCACTGTCTGACATTAAATCAGACTAAACTTTTTCTGTTTTAGGTCAGTTAGGATTACCAAAAACATTTATATTGACTAAATGCCAGAATAATGAGAGAGAAAAATTTCAAGTTCTGTACCAACATGAGCTGAAAGACTACTCAGAGAAGAAGAAGCCATTTCTTTCTTTTAGGAGACATGTCCTGTGGTCTGATGAAACTAAAACTGAACTGTTTGGCCATAATGACCATCGTTACATTTGGAAGGAAAAGGGGAAGCTTGCAAGCCTGAGAACACCATCCCAACTGTGAAGCATGGGGGTGGCAGCATCATGTTGTTGGGGTGTTTTGCTCTCAAGACATCAGCCAGGAAGTTAAGGCTTGGGCATAAATGACTCTTCCAAATGGACAATGACCCTAAGCATACTGCCAAATTAGGTACAAAGTGGCTTCAGGACAACAAAGTCAAGGTTTTGGAGTGGCCATCACAACGCCCTGATCTCAATCCTGTAGAAAATATGTGGGCAGAGCTGGAAAGGTGTGTGGAGCAAGGCAGCTAACAAACCTGACTCCGTTACACCAGTTCTTCAGGAGGAATGGGCCAGAATACCAGCAAGCTATTGTGAGAATCTTGTGGAAGGAAACCCAAAACATTTGACCCAAGTCTTACAAGCTACCAAATACTCAGGAAATGTATGTAAACTTTGACTTTGGAGAAAGTAATTAAAAAATTCTCTAAAAAAATCTCCCGCTCATTATTGTGGCATTTATCAAATAGAAATCATTTTGGTAATCCTAACTGACCTAAAACAGGAAAAGTTTAGTCACATTCAATGTCAGAGAAAAAACAACATGTGTCTTTTTACACAGTGCATGTAAACTTCTGGTTTCAACTGTATATCCCAGCCGTGCAGGTGCCACTGTAATGAGATAACTCATGTTTTTCACTTCACCTGTCAGCAGTTTTAATGTTGCGTCTGATCAGTTTTTAAGACTTGCAGCTATATAGATCAACATTAATGCTGGTTTGAACATATGACACAGAGGTTTTCTAAATTTTTCAAAAACAAGAGTCATCTCATCCCTACAACCCCAAATTTATGCAGCGGTTACAGAAGCGTGACGAGCCATACTGTCAGCAACTCCCTATCTTATGTTGTTACGTAAGCTTCCTCTGCAGCGCTGCAACACACTCTGCATACAGGTGGGTGAATATACCGCAGCACAGCTCTCACTTCTTCCCAACTTTTTTTTTTTGCTCTTGGAAATTATATGCACTTGTGGAAGGCAGCATGACAAGTTACTGCAAGATGTTGAATCCCCACCAGCTGCAGGATTTCTGCCACATGGCTTCATATTCGTGATGACAGGAAGCAAAAAGAGACTATTTGCTTATAAAATACTCAACAATGATTACAAATCTGGCTTTTGCTTTACAGTTGATGTAGAATTCAATTCAATCGATAATAATACACATTAGGGGGAAAAAAGCAATCGTAGTTTAGGTTGTTAGATCCATAGTTCGCATGCAAATTACTAAGTTTGGACTTTGAATGCTGTAACTGTGAAATGTCTCAATATTCCATGCAGAGAAGCTCTTTTACCATCACCTTGCACTGTAATCTGTCAATTGACAGCATATTTATGTAACTCCTGCATGTTCTTTTGTTATATTTGTGCATCTATGTTGGAGGACAACAATAGACAAATGATGACTTGTTGAGAAAATGGACACGGCTGGTATTTATCCACTGTGTTCTTACTAACAGTAAACAAGATGACTCTTATCTCCTGCTCAGCTTCTGGTTGCTAAGCAGAGGATGATAAACAGATTCCAGTCTCTGGATGGTGCATTTATCTAATTTAGATGTTTCTCAGCATTGGAGCGCAGTACAACAGCCCTGATTCCCTCATTACCAGAAATACACAGCACACACTGTCTATCAGATGCAAATGCTTCAAGATCCATTTCTTCCTTCTTTTTTTACACAAACTTTAATGATTTGTAAATGATATGTACTCTGATTCCTTGCATGAGAGCAACAACTATAAAGAAGTCCCCAACTTACAGTGCATTAGCATTCTCCCTGTAACATCAGAATGATAGATATTATGAATGTCCTTTATTATTTAAGAAAATGAATGATGATGAACAAGTTAAGTCTAATGAGATGTTTTTATATTTTTACATAAATTAGAAATATGAGTGGAGGTCAGCTTTGGGGAGGCGATCAGAACTTGGCTTCACATGGATGTTATCAGGTTTGACAATCGATCCGCCTCATCCGCTTTATCTAGTAGAACAGCCTGCAGATTTATTACATATGTAGTTGATGTAACAGTCTCATATCAGGAGAAAACAGTTTACTCTTATTACAAGGAACAGAACACAGCTGTCATTTCAGGGTTTGTGCGCTTTTTCTGTTGTATATTTGTGAGTCGCCTTCGCCCTAAGTCGGCTGGGATAGGCTCCAGCCCCCCGCGACCCTCGTGAGGATTAAGCGGTGTATAGATAATGGATGGATGGATATTTGTGAGTCTTTGTATATTTGTGTATATTAAAATAAACCCACACACGCACGCACGCACACACACACACACACACAGGTATATATATGTGTGTGTGTGTGCCTGTGTAGGTGCTCTGACTGTGTATGAGGATGAGATGAGAGAATCCCCCCTCAGGGCGTGAAGAGCTTCAGAGAGAAACTTTCATCCCTCAGAACTCAAGCTGCTCTTAATCTGTCTGCTCAGACGTGAGCATGATACCAATTGATGAGACTGTGAAGAGGTATTAATTTTTCATTGAATCTCCAGAAACAATACCACGAAGAAAACCTCAAGGACCTTGAATACACAAACCAACAGCTGGATGAACAAATCCAAGCACACAGTCCATTCAGTGAGATAAATACAGATATTCCTGCAGTTTAGAAGCAGATTTATTTACTTTAACATGTGTGTGCATGTGATTCTTTGACAGAAAATCCTATATAGCTCTAACTCAAAATCTGTCAAACAATATACTCCTGTGTTTATATTTCATGATGCTACGTCAAGTTGGGAAAAAAAAACAAAAAAAAACAAGGAATAAGAAAACCTGTGCCGCAGGGAATCTGAGATTTTCACTGTTTCTCTTCCTCGCTACACCTGTCCATCAGTGTCCACACACATACTGACTTGTTTTTACCACATAAACTGTTAACTATTCTATAAATCCTACATTCCTCAACCTCAGTCTGAATCCTGATCTTGTTCAAAAGTCTTAACCAAAACTTTAACAGTTAAATATACACTTTGTCGCCAGTTTGGAGGTTAATATGAACAGATCTAATGCCTACACACACTAACACAGAGTTTTATTGAAAGAGTCCCCAGCCAAGACTGAACCAAGGACTCACTGCTCCTTGTGGTTTGCACCCTCCCCATTGAGCTATCCCAATCTTATCCTAATTTAAGCCGCTAACATGCCCAAAACTCCAAGTTTTCACACTCAAGTTTATACTTTCACAAGCCTCCCTCCTCACATGGACGATGAATCCCCACAATCCCATTAATGAAGCTTATGCAAACTCAGGCAAAACTGTAACATAAACCATCTGCATATGCACAATGCAGCAGGCAGATCGTGTCATGTTTGAATAAAGAGAAAAGACTGTGCTGAACATTTTAAAAAGTTAAAAGAGGGTTAGTGCACTATTTACTGGGGTGAAATGTTCACTTGGTTGAGGGTTGAATATAAACATTTCAATAATATTAAATGATTATACCAGTGGTTTTGCATGCTTTAGGACATTTACTACTAAATCACAAGTAGCTGTTTTGCAGACAGTGGTCTTGCATTTTAGAAACGTGGTTGTTTTTTCTCTCTGCCAAAGTATAACAAGTATTAAAGTATAAAAATGAATTTCATGTTTGTATTTAACAACCAAAAAAGCCAAAAATGCTCCAGGCAAAACATCTAAGAGGGAAAATACTGTCATTATAGTTGTAAAATAATGCAGTGTACACTTTTTAAGTTACTCTGTAACTTCCACAAAAGCTGCTCTTTAAAAATCCAAACTAAGCAAAAATGTTAATTCTGCATTAGTTGCTGTTGAAGATCTACAACTGGCCAACATGAAGGCATGCTTTTATCTTCCATTCTCTGCATCTCTCTGCAATTCATTCTCCCATATGAGCTCCAGTTTGCTATATTTTACATATCCAATATAACAAAAACTCTCTCTGCAGTTCTACCTTGCACTTTCGTCCATCCACCGTCTCCTCATCAAACTCTTCACCGATGTGGAAGTTGATCTCGGTGGTGCGAACGGTGGTGGATGTTTTGATGTAGAACTGCTCTCCATTCTGACGGATCTCCACATGAGGGTTGGAGGCCGCCGCCCCGGCCACCTTCCTCAGCATGGCGTTCACTCCTGGACAGATACAATCGGGGTCAGTCCAACCATTTTAACCATAAATTATTATTAATTAAAATGATTTTTCACTGCTTCATTGTATGAAACATTATTGTGTCTGTTTTAAGGTGGCTGATCGTTACACACATGTTGATTTTTCAGGCATGTCGCCAATTTTTAAGCTTGTTTTGTGACTGAAAATGAGGCGGACAAATATTACTGTTGTTACAATAATAGGAGGAATATGTATCAGGACATTTATTTCTTTATGATCATTTATCCACTATGTAATATATGCTTTTGACCGAGGCCAATAAGAGTCGAAGATTTCTTAATACCTCACAAAATAAGCTGTAACCACAAAAGACGCATGTAGGAAAAAAAATAGAAAAATAGGGTGAAGGTTGAGCTCTGCTACCTACTGATAGTTGGAGACGTTTAAGGAGGAAAAGTGTGGAAATTACTATTTTGATTAGTAGTTTAACAAAATAACATGTGTATGTGGCAGAGAAATGGAGACACAAACTGGCACAAAACAGAGAAATAGATAATCAGTTTTGTGCTGGTGCTGACATTTGCAGTGAAACAGCTCCCACTATACAGTCGACCCCACCCAGATTTATCCAGACCTCTCGAGGCTCTCATGCCAGCTTCTATCAGCTCAGGACCTTAAATATAGTGAGACATGCTGACTGAATGTCTCCACGTTCTGCTGAGTGTGTGTGTGTGTGTGTGTGTGTGTGTGTTTAAGCATCCACACAAGCTTAAATTTTAACCAAGAATGACAGAGATGTGTTTGTTTTAGAGAAAAAAAAACACAATAAATGTTCCGTGGTTGTGACGGACAACCTCAACTATTTCTTAAAACTGGAAGAAATCTGTGGAATTTTGGCACCAAGGTCTGTGTGAGGGTTCGTTCAGCTGTGTCCGGAAGGGGGAAAAAAAATATTCTTGAGGATGTCAGGGCTTGTCAGGGCTGGCTCCCTCTGTTTGTCTGATGGTTGCATGAGCGGTGATCGTGCACGTGGCACAGCCCAGGCTTGTGGCAAATGTTTGGCCTGCCTGGTTTGACTCTGCAAGGCCATCTGGTTGAATGTCCTGCCAAAGGTCTGCATCTTTTATCTCGCTGGCCCTCTCCTACCAACAGGCAGTTTCTAGAAAGCCCACAACTTTAACAAGATCAAGTGTTTTCCAAAAAAAACAGCAAGAAATCAGCTCTGATTAGTTCGGAGAGATCATCCGGTCCCTAAAACCGCTGTGGTCCTACTTGGTTGACACCCAGAATATAAGACATATTAATGTGAGAGCTTACTCGACCCCACCCATGATCTGAGGAATCACGCCATGTGTTTTTATAGCATTAAATATGCATGAGCTTCAGTCAACCAAGCAGTCTGTCCCCATTCCTGAAAAGAACACATTTTTTTCAGAATTTAAATTGCATTTCAGGTTTAGATAGAAGCTGTTTTGTAGCATCATCTTATAATCTTCTAGACCACCAGTGTCACAAACAGACTGAGCCAGAGCAGCACATTGTCTAGAAACTGAAAACAAGGTGGAATCAGTAAGAATCGTTTCCTGAAATGCCACTAAACAAGTGTCTACAGTGTTTTTTGGATGCTGATATAAGGTTTGTACAGATCCTGATGCTGAAAAATACACTTTAACCTGTATTTGTTTTGCATTTCAAGACCAGAGTTTACTAAAGATGTGCAGCACTTGTACAGTCTGTGATGAGATGCAGACACACATGCCTGCTCTCAATTAGCAAACTGTGAATCTGATCAGTTCGTACACGTCTGTTCACTCAGCGTGATCCTCTGCACTCTGGATATAAGACTCCCCTCCTACACTAGGGGAACCTCCGAGATAATTATAAAGATGTTGATGGAAAGTGGCGGCCCTGCAGCACTGGAATCCATGTTAGCTGCCTTTCTCAGCTCTCTTATTGACCAGGCCCTTATGGAAGAGCTAACGGGTGATTTTCTCCAGCAGATGTGTTTAATGTGTTTGTGAACGGATGAGGTGCTAAACTTGGAGAGTGACCGATTTCCCCTTAGAGACCAGATCAGAGGAGCCGTAGCCTTGTGAAGTTCAAAAACCAAACAGGGAAGAGGAGAGCTCTTGACAGGTGTTTGGTGAGCTTTCTTTGATGAATCAAAATCAGTCAGAACCACGTCATAACTGTTATTGGACGATTTCATACTGGCTTCAATAGTCATTCTGTTTTTGAATGGCCTTTGTGGGCATCCATGTTATTAGAGAGCACAGTAGGTCAAATTCTATAAAAACCCAAACCAACAATATACCAAACAGTGTAAATCTTTAAACCAAGGCTTTGTGATTCTTTCTGAAGATAGCAGAGCACTGTAGTCTTCAAGCTGAGCAAACAGTGTATTAGTTGATGACTACTTTGAGCAGCAGAAAAACGCACTTTCACAGGAACAGAAAAGTGCATTTTTGACTGAAACTAAACTACAACGCCCAGTGCAAAGAGGAGGTATGTCGCTAATGTGACTGTTGGACAGAGTAAAAATCTTTGGCTATTTGATAGAAGCATGAATTCATGGTTCATTCATCTATGATCCTTGATTTTTTTAAGGATACACTGCAACCAACTAGCTGAAGTGTTTCTAGTACAAAACTATCCCCTTTTAAAACCTAACCTGTCCAGTTTGTGCAAACATTTGTGTCTAAAAAGTTCCCATTGTAATCCAGTTTGGTGCCAACACTTCCTGAAGAGTTGCTGAAGCTCACAGCGAGACTTCTCCCTGAAGATTTCTGCATTATATTCTAAAGACACCCAGCCTCTTGCAGAGCCCTGTCTGTTTCAGCGGTCCCAGCGTGACGAAACGCCGCAACACAATTGAATGACCCAGTTAAACTGGTCTAAATCTAAACCATCACAACCATCAGTTGAGACTAAGGAGGGTGAAAAAGAATGAAAAAAGTCAGGAGACAAGAGAACAACACTGGGCTCCAGAGACCTCCCCTGGCATTGCTAATGCATGCCCTACTTAAATGCTTAACATGAATAATGTTGTGCCGCTCCCCCTCCTCTCTCTCCTCTCTTCATGTAACAATACCACGTCTGTTTAGGCTGGAATTTAGCATCCACTGTTTCTTATCTCCTGGAAAGCGGAGGGATTTCCCTTCAGCAGCATCTCCCCAATCTGCCTCCTGTTCCCAGGGAGCTTCTCCGAACAATATGATGTTGTTGGAAGTCAGGCATGCCATTCCCAAAGAACAAGAAAAGCCTTTTTTCTCTATGGACATGATGGATAGTCAACCTCATGCAGGGATGTAGCTCTGGCTATGGAGGAGAGTGAGGAGAGGGAGAAAAAGAGGCGAGGGAAAGGGCTTACCCAGGGCTTTGAGAAGTTCATCAAAATTCTCACTCCTCTTCATCTTCCAGGTGCCAGCAAAGTTAGGCATGTCTGCTGAGGCTGAGTGCTGCAGGAAGAACCTGTTCCACGCTCTGGTGTCTCTCTTTGACTCTTTCTCACCCTCCTCCTCCTTCACTGTGCTCCTGTCTCCTCTGCTCTGGGCTCAGTGTCTCGTTCACACTGTTACACCCAAGTGTTTCTTTTATTTTTTTATTCTCACAGTCGGACGCTCGCACAAACACACACACTTTCTCTCTGCCGCTTCTTCGTCTGTGTGTCTCAGGGAGCTGGCTGTAATCTTGTCTTTAGCTCCTTTATAGCGACTGTCTTTAATGGGAGGCAGAGGTCCCTCCCCCTGAAAGCTCTGTCCCATTAATACAGTAGAGCGAGACTGATGTGTCTGCTCTCTCTGGGGATCAGAGAGACTAAATTCACTCTTTTAGAGTGTATTTATAGAGCACTGGTTTGTTCACAACTCCATTATGAAGAATCTTAATTTGGAGGTTGGCTTTCATGATCATGGACATCTTTCGGAGAGCTGAAACAAAAAAGACTGAAATGGATAAAACAGGAAAGGAAAGGAGCTGCTCAGGTCACAGGCTTTATTTCTCAGAAAAAAAGTTTGAAAACTTTTCTTTTCTGCCACTTTTCTCATTTGAGCCGTCTTTACTCGTACTGTTGGCTAAATACCATAAAACATGCAGCAGATTACAGCATGACTCTGAACAAATTAGCCTGAAACCAATCGTGACCTGCAAACATACATCAAAGAGATGGTTTGTTGCAGCAATAATGATTCATCCGGATGTTTTCTTGTTCTCTCCCTCAGGCTGTAAACACCAATGATGTGTGCATTATGCATTGTATTGTAGTCCATTAATTATGCATTAGTCTGTTTATTATGTAATGTGGAATCAGTGGTATTGTTTAGGATATTTTTCTCTGCTGAGATTTGTAATTGCTTTTGCATTTAACTGACAGCAGCAAGAAGACTTCAGTTTACATGCCCTTCAGCAAGCGATTCAACTATCAGCCTCCTCAGGTCAGGTGTTTGAGCAAAGACTGTGAATATGAATGTGTGTAAAGTGTGGCAAAGTCCAACTGAGTTTTGTGTTTGTCTAACTCAGTACAAAACCTTATTACAGCTTATACAGTAAAAATGACACAACAGAGAGGACCCTATGAAAGTTCTGGGCCATAAGTAGCTTCTGTTTTTACAGCCTCAACTGCGAAAAGCAAAGAATCAATTCTGAAACCACTGTAATTAAATTTTTAGTTTGGTTTAGTTGGTGTTGCTGAGCCCCACCAGTTTAGTCCCTCTTTTTAAGAATAACCAAATTGTTGATTTGACCATGGTGTCCACCTTATACCACATGAGCAGCTACCAAATGCAAATTCAACACTATGAATCATCTCAAACTTTTCATTTCCTAAACTTGTCTTAAAATAATGCGGAAACAGGTCACACCTGGGGCCATGAAGAAAATGTTCAAAAAATTCATTCACCAAATACTTATTTGACTGTAGGAGGCTATAAAAATGAAGAAATAATTCCATCTATTAGGTTTTGAGTTGCATGAAGACAGTTTCATAAGCACTTTATATGTTAGTAAGTAGAACAAAATCAAAGTCAAACACTTTAAGTTCTCCTTTTTTAGGATTTATAATGCTGGTTATATAATAATAAAGACAATTTTATTTGTATATATTAATGTACACGGTTTGCCAACACTTCATATATCATATCATATTTTATATTATTGTAACTGCATTTTTAAATGTTGTCATTGTTCATTTACACACCAGTTTTCATTTATGGGTCGCCCTAATGGAATATATTAATGAACATTCCAACTTTATTAGAATGTGTAATAAACTATGCATTAAATGTTTATATACTTCCAAGCAATGTTACATAGAGTGGGTTGTAAAGTGATGAGGCAATGACACACTCAGTTTTACAACAAAGATCACTGATCCATACATGAGCTATTCCTGCTTTATAATGCAGAGGGTTGAAGGGAGGCTGAAGTCTCTCCCTGCTGACGTTGGGTGAGAGGTGGGTTATTCTGTAGCCATGGGGCAAACACAAAGATGAACACACACCTTCCATATGTGTTGCTTTTTTTGTGGACTGTGTTGTGGAAGCTTGAACATGCAAACTACTGCACCACCTATGATTAAGATATCTTCTGTTGTATAAGTGGTCCTTATATTTCATTCTAATTCCATTGTTTGGTGTTTTAGGGAGATTCTAACCATTTAGTGATTATTTACTGCTTAATTACTATCGATACTTGTACTAGCATCAGCATTTTTACTGAAAAGAAGATAGATTTCATTAAACTGAAAGTCACCAGTCCTGTAAAGCAACATTAAGCTGAAAAGTTTTTATTGAAAACTCTGGCCCCATGTTTAAATCCAGTCGATATCCAAGAAGGTTTTTATTTCTCTATTGTAACTTTAAGTTAGTTCAGGATGAAACACCCGACTCCTGACAGCTAAGAGAAGTGATGTGCTGCTGTGTCTCCAAGGTTTGGCATTTAAAGCAGGGTTTAAGCCTCTTGTGACAGTTTGACTGTGATTTTAAAGGTTTTTACAATAGGACAAAGAAAAATCTCTGCATGAGATTTCAGGATTGAAATGACTGTAAGAATATCTGCTGCAAGATAACTGTAGCTAATATCAGAGCCATTTTGGGACTTTAAAAAATCCCTCTAGTCAAGCTCTTTCTTTCTCTCTCTCTGTCTCTTTCCGTTATAAATAGGACATCTCTCATCTTTCTCGCTCAGGTCCTGAGCTGTCAGGAGAATCATGCTGATGTCCTTTTCTGTGACGCAAGTCCCTGTTACTGCTTAATTTCAAGAGTTATTTAAGACACACTGGCTGTATTTTCTTTCCTCTACTTAAAATGATTCTGTTGAAACTTTATCTTGACAACCATTTTGAGCGTTTGCAGCTCAGACTGTGGCTGCTGCAGCAACTGTCAAAATATTGGAATACTTTTCTGCAGACTCAGATTTCCCTTTGTCTCTGCACCATGGAGGTTTACTTTAAAATGAACAAGCTCTGTGTGCATAAATTCAATATAGATTAAGTGAATTTGAACTGGGATACCAATAACACACTTCATAAAAACACTGGAAATTGTAATTGGCTAAGTAATTGTAGTTCAGTGGTTTAGTCAGTGGAAAAGTTATTGAAATTATTACTACATTAAATTTACTTTTTGCTATTCTAGGACGTAGAATAACAATGGACAGTGTATTTTGCTGCAAGCAGCTGTAATTAGATGAGTTATCATGACACTACAGACAGAAGTTTCAGTGTGTGTGCCAGTGACACAGATTGCAGCTTCTGATTCACAATTATTAGTTATTTATTAGGGGTATTGTATGATGAGATTTTCTTGACTAACTATTCCCCTCACCAGCACCTGCATCTCTTCTCCTGGACACTTTAAAATGTTGGTCACCCAAATCAGCATAAAATAAAATGTGTGAATACAAGTATTTTAAGGGAAACCATTACATACGTAGTTATGTCCATCTTACTGCGCACAGCCTGTGATATTAATGTGGAACAAAGGCTTCTTTTACAAAGAAAATGAGACCTTACTTTATGTAAAGTATGATGTCTCAAATTTCAGATTCATTTTACTCTGAAAATTTTGCAATTCTCAAGCAAAAATCTAAAGACAGCTGGGGTTGAGCTGTTTAAAGATCCTAACAACACTGCTAGTTTTGCTTTGACTGACTGCATATTTCATGTCATCACTTCTTGTTTCCACGCTATGTGATCCTCACACACAGTAAATTGACTTACTTTCCTTTTTTAATTATAGTTTTATTAATTCAAACATGTATTAAATCTCTGTATTATATCTGTCTCAGAAAAACTGGCTCTTAAATGGTTCTTCAGAAGGTTTTCTGGTTCTTCGAAGCACATCACCAATTGAAGAACTTCTTTAAGTACAGGATGTTTTTTTAAGCACTAAAGGTTTTTCAATTTTATTGGTTTGGTGGCATGTCATAGCATAAAATCTGAGCAGCGACTAACAAATATTTGTATTAAACAAATCATTTGGTTTATACAACCTATTAGAATTTCCCAGATCTCAAAATGTCATCTTTCTATATGTTATTCTGTTTGACCAGCAGTCCAGAACCCAAAATATTACATGTGTTAAAATGAGAGAGACCCAGAAATGAAATGAAAAAAAATATATTTTATTTATCCCAGAAGGGAAATTCAATGTGTAAAAAAAAAAATTCAAATGCTACAAGTTTGATTTTTTTTTTCTCCTAAAAATTACTTTGATGCTCTCTTGTTATCAAGATAGAACCGGGTGGGTCAAGAAAAACTAAATAGAAAAATTATTTCTAAAAGAATCTATTTATTGGTCTAATTCATGGAGGTGTCATTTATGGTGCCTAAAGAAACTTCTTTTTTTTATGTTTCTTTGAAACACCTGGAGCATTTTTAAATCATCTGAAGAAGTGTTTTTTTTTTTTTTTTTAAGGACAGAAACTAAAATGAATTGTTCTATGGCATCACTGTGAAGAACCATTTTAGTTCCAGTTAGCACGTTTTTTCTAAGTTTATAGACTGATCAATATTAATCACATTTTAGAAATCTTCTTTTATTTTTTTTTAACTTTTCTTGTTGAACAAACGCTGTAGCTGCGCAGCTCCGCTGGTGGTGATAGTGAGCCTCCTCAGTCCTTTTACAGCCGCTGGTTAAAGACAATCTGCAGAAGTAGAGGGAGACCGGAAGTTACATCAAATGTTGTCATGGCGTCTCACATGTAAATCAACGAGCATCTAAAATTTGTTTCAGCATTGAATTAGGAATTCTCAAGGTACGTGGGCGCATATTGTCACAGTTTACCGGTTTAGTATCAGTAGTTACCGATAACCTTGTGCATGTTCAGACAGCTAACAGCATCTTGTAGCTGCAGGTCGCAGCGCTAACCTGCTGTGTTGTTATAGCCGCTGCTAGCCTGGGCTAACCAGCGTTAGCTCTAGTTTTTTTTTTTTTTTTTTTTTTAAAGTTCAACTGCACAAGTTCGGTACAACAATACAAGTGCTGTTTATCGTTCTTTCTGGTGTCTTTGGGCAAAGCCACAGCAACAGCTCTTAACTTTACATGAGTGTTGTTAAACTCACTGTGAGAGTTTCAATCACTGATTGTTTCTTCCTGAATAAACTGTCACTGTCTCACACTCATGCTCGTTTCAGGTTGAAGTGAGTCAGCTGTCTCTCCAGCTACCAGGACCAAAACAATGAGCACTCAGGTAAGCAACAGACTGCTTCATGTGTTCTGTGCAGCACTTCGTGTTATTGTCTGAATGACTGCATTCAAAGATTAACTCTGAACTTATGCTTTGATTTCAGTACAGCATTCTGTTCAAGCAAGAACATGGTGAGTAACATCACACATGCACAGATCTCACTGTATTATTTCTACAAACTTGATTAAGCTCCTTATTACTGATTTCCCACAGTAAGCTCTGTTATTCAGAGCTCCTATGTCTACTTTTTCATTCGTTAAACTGTGTTGTTGTGTGTTATTCTCACTTGGCTTAAGCCATTAAGCAGTTATTGATAGCATTACAGCTTTAAAAACAATTACTAGACCTGTTGTTTTCTTTACAAAATGTACATATCAGGCCTTCAAGAGTGCTAATTTTGTTTAAATTTAATTATAGTAGTTAAATAATTAGAATATCTTCTTAGAGACATCAAAAAAAATTTTTTTTCTTGTAATAATTCATGCATACAGTAAATTATGTTTAAACATAGTATGTCATGAAACTGTAAACATTTCCACATTTACACTTGATAGCCAAAAACATTATTTGAGTCACCATTATTTTTGCATAAGTTGTATATGAAAAGTCAACTGATAATCCAACCTCAGTTATCACTCAACAATGCCAAAAAGAAGGAAGCTGTGCAATGATACGGCAGCCGTCTTGTGCTTAACAAAAAGAGAACCATTGTTACCAGGCTTGGATAACTTTTAACTGTCAATTTCTGTAATATTAAAGACTAATTTAAAGATTTACTACTATAGCCAAAGCCTAATATGCATCTGTTTTATTCCTCTGTGCCATAGATCTTCATTATTATTCAGAAACTATAGAAAGCCAGTTAGTGAGCCACGCTGTTACACTGAGTCATATGTTCCTTAAACAAACATTACAGTACCACCTACATTACTTTAGTTTATCGTAGAACAATTCATACCAAAAAACATAATTTCACATAGAAGAATAAAAATGTCAATAGTTTTAAATAGTAACAAAAAAAAAGCAATAGTCAAACCAGTGATTCTCCATAGTGAGAGGTAATTAAACATAAACAGATAAAATGGAAAGATTTACTAAAACCCAGTAATAAATACTTCAGTCACATTGTCTGAAACCCAATGAAATCTTAAAGTTCTCTTTCTTGTTGTTATGTAATTTCCTGCATCCTGCACCAATTAACACCAACTCTGTCCTTTAACTAATCGTGTCAACAGCCTGACTAGTTTCTTGATTGATGAAAAACCTTTTGCTGTCACATTTTTTTCTAACCTGTATTTCTTTTCCTCTCAGCACACGACGATGCCATCTGGACAGCAGCGTGGGGTAAAAGTGAGGCAGACGGCTCCGAAACCATCGTCACTGGTTCACTAGATGATATGGTGAAAGTCTGGAAATGGTGTGTGTGGTGTTTCTTTTTACCACGACTTCTCATTATATTTACTGACAGCCATTTGTCTAATTCTATTTTTTTTTCTACCAAATATTGTGTTTGTGTGTTTTTCTTTGTACCATTAAATTTAATTAGTGTCTATTTTCTCAGTTTTTCACATAATTCAAATTTTACTTGAAAACAGGGAGGTTGGGTGGGTTTGTTTCAGGGGTTCATCCCCATTGGATAATGAGTTTTTTGAGTGACAGCTAATTATTTGCATTCTGCTGGTGTCAGTCCTTGACATCTATTTTCTCCTCTCCTCTCTGTGCTCACATAAACTGCGTTTTAATGCAGCTGAATTTTTGGTAGAGCTGTTGTCAATTCCATATTTTTCTGTGTGTTGTCAGACAACAAGATGAGTATAAAATAGTGACTGAAACACAGCTCAAGTGTCATGTTAACCAGTCTGTATTTCCATCCATCTATCCATCATCTATACACTGTTTAATCCTCATTGGGGTCGCGGGGGGGCTGAAGCCTATCCCAGCTGACTCAGGGCAAAAGCAGGGGACAGACACCATGGACAGGTTGCCAGTCTATCACAGGGCTACAGACAATCAAGCACACTCACATTCACACCTACGGACAATTTAGAATCACCAATTATCCTCAACATGTTTTTGGACTGTGTGAGAGGAAGCCAGAGAACCCAGAGAGAAGCCATGCTGCATGGGGAGAACATCTAAACTCCACGCAGAAAGATCCCCGGTGTCCTCACCGGGACACGAACCGGCAACCTTCTTGCTGTGAGGCCACCTTGATTCCAGTCTGTACTCATATGTTTAAATTAATTAATCATTTTATGATCCATTTTCAGCCCACTGCTCTGCTACAATTCAATTTTTTTCTGCAAAGTTACCCGACAAACTCACTACACAGATGAGTTAAAGACAACAGCTATACTGTGAATTTGGGGATTTTTCCATTTAAAATTATCACTGAGAGAAAAGTTAGAAGCGACAGAATGTCTTTCCTGTGTTTTATTTCACTGTGAAAAGCCTGTTAGCTAATGGAGACACACTCCTATAAACTGATAATGCAAAAGGTTTGTGCCAGAATTGCAAACAAAAAGGCAAGCAGCACAAACAGGAGAACTGGTAGTGTGACTGTGTAGGTAAACGTCTCATCAGTGAGAAAGAAGCACTGAAAACTGTACAAAAAAAGGACACATTCTCAAAACTACCAGTTTTTAATTCATGTTTTGCTTTTGGATCACTTTGTTGCTTCAGTGACTTTTCTCTTAAATTCATATTTTTGTGAGATATGTAAGAGGTTCTGTTTGATAAAACTAGAGTTGCAGAAATTACATTAATTTGGCTTCATGAATTAACAGTCTCACATTATCCCTTTAATAGGATCCTGAAACTTTAGTTTATAAAGTTTGATATTCATCAGCAGGTGAAGTGTTCCCAGTCGTCATGGAATTGTTACATTTTGTTTTTCTCAGACTTCTTAAGACCTTGTCCTCCTCATTGGCCTAAAAGTTGAGTTTATTGAACTTGACATGACCAAATATTCTCCTTGTCGCACTGTTCATGCAGGTCAGATGAGAAACTGGAGCTGCAGTGGACTCTGGAAGGCCACCAGCTGGGTGTGGTGTCAGTTGACATCAGTCACAACGGAGCCATCGCCGCCTCCAGCTCCCTCGATGCACACATCCGTCTGTGGGACCTGGAGTCTGGAAAACAGATCAAGTCTATGGACGCTGGACCAGGTAGGACTGGGCCTCGGGAATTATTTCTATATGAATTCCTACTGGGTAGTAGACTAAGATCATTCTTCCTACAGCTCTGTGCTTGACTCTGATGTGTGTCTGAAGGCCAGTAAAACATTGGTTTGACCTGGTTGATGTGGTCTTACTTTGTGGTGCAGAGTTTTTAATTTGGTACTTTTTTTTGTATTAACACAAACCTGTAGGGGATGACAGCCTGTCTGGCCTGTTTGCAGCACAACAAGCTTGTTTTATTTGTCACACTCACCTTTCCAGAACCCCACACAGCCACAAATCTAAATGCCATGCCACCTCCTATTAGTACCACTCTGTTGCACTCAGTGGTTGGTGTGGTTCAGAGGATTGCAGGCCTTTCTTTCCCTTCTTTGGACATACTGAGTTTTGGTATACTTAGATTGGATTTGACGTGAAGACTGTTAATCAAGCCCTTTGTTTTCTTTTCCTTTATACGTATGGACATAGTAGTTTTTTAGCTTCAGTAATAATCCTGTCAAAGAACAAAGGGCAAGTTTGGTATCTTAGTCAGGGGCAGTCATGTTGAAGGTTAAAAAAAAATCTAGTATTCATGCACATTTATAAAGTCACTCTCATTTGGTGACACATAGATTTGAAGTGTTTAATCCTCCTCTGTCTTCCTGCTCTCCTTTCTAGTTGATGCATGGACCGTTGCCTTCTCCCCAGACTCAAAGTACATCGCCACAGGAAGCCATCTTGGCAAGGTCAACATCTTCGGTGTGGAAAGTGGCAAGAAGGAATACTCTCTGGACACTCGAGGAAAATTCATCCTGAGTATAGCTTACGTAAGGAGCTTTAAATTGTCGTTTTGGTCAGCTGGGTGGTGGCTCCTTAAACTCAGAGGCTCTAAAGACTGAGAAATAACTGATGTGGCTTCACTGTTACTCATCTGTATTTGTGTTTGTGCTTTTTCACATAAAGGTTTCCCCTCATTTTAGCTCATAATCTGCTCTCTCCAGATCCAAAACCTGTGTTTAACAGCTTATCCAGTCTCATCTCTCTAAAGCTGTAAATTGCCATGACGCTTTCAATATGTCAGTTCTATTTTGCTCCTCAGAGCCCTGATGGGAAGTATTTGGCGAGTGGAGCCATTGATGGAATCATCAACATCTTTGACATCGCCACTGGAAAACTACTCCACACACTGGAAGGTAAGTTCAATTATAACATCCATATTAAAGGGAATAAATGAGGCAACCCCAGGACTACAGATAGAAATTAGCTTGACAGCTATAGTCTGGTACAAGCATCCTTGCTCTTGAGCATAATGTAATTGTATATTGTCCTGTCAATAAACAATGAAATAAAATAAACCTGCAGTTATTTTGATAACCTGTTATTCAGTAATTGTTATTTAGGTTTACGGAGTAAGCATTTCATCTTTTCAATGTCAGAAAATACTTTTTTTAAAAATGCCCACCACACTTCATTAGAGGTCAAGATGTTGTCTTCAGATCACTTGTTTTTTGTTGAAGATGTTCAACTTACAATGGAAAAAAATAATCTAACATTTATTTCTGTATTTACAATATAAAAAAAACATTTTAACAAATACATGCAACATAGTCGACCAATATTTTTTTGGTTTGTTTTTTTGTTTTTTTTCAGAACGGATACCAACTATTATCTTTAATCAAGGAGCAGATAACTGATATTTACAACAATATATATTTGAAGTAAAAAATATACATATATATTTCTTTCAATATGTAGAATAATGCAAACTCAAACACAAAATTTCCTTAAAATGCGTTTATTTATGTTTTACATTGGTTTGAATAAAACAGAACTTTTCAAAAATATAATATATCTTTAAGAAGTGTCAGAGTGGCGCTTTTTTGAATAGCTTTATTTTATCAGTAATTGACTGAAGAAAATAAACTGAAAAGTTCTGCATATCAGACAGTTGACCAGGCCAATAATTGGTCAGTCATGGCAACACAGATGTTATACACAAACAAAAATTGTTTCAGCATTAAGTTCAATTCAATTTCAAAACCTTAAGGAAGAAAAAGAGCTCTAGGCTTTCTATATTCCCTCTGCAGTTGTTGATTAAACCCCTAAAACTCATCTCTGTGTATTAAAGTTACATTTTTTATAACTTTTTTTTTTTTTACAAAAGTAATCTCTTCCTTTCTTAAAATGTTTGTATGTAACTCTAAACCATTGCTTCCTCTTGAATGTGCAGATCTAGGTATAAGTCTATGCCTTTTGATCCACTTTCCACTCCCCATTCATTGCAGCTCAGCACACCAGCTCACCTACACCTCTGCTCAAACAGTGTAAAACTGCTCTATGCTGCACAGTGGCAAGTTGTAACATCAGAGTTATTCACCCATACATGTCCAAACTGGAGACCAGTTCTGAGGAATAATTTTAAGACTTTTGTCTGTACATTGCAGCTTCAGTGTGGAAATGCTCAGCTATGGTGTTGACTGTTGATTACACTTTTGATGTGTCTGTTGGCATATTTAAAAGGCACCATATTGGGCACCGCCATAGCTCACCTGGTTGAGCTGGCGTCCCATGTACAGGGCTACAGTCCTGATGTGGAGGTCATGAGTTTGAATCCTGCTTATGGCCCTTTCCCACGTGTACTCCCCCCATTCTTCTCCCCCACTGTCCTGTCTCTCTCTCACTGCACTATCCATTAAAGGCACAAAGGCCAAAAAAATAACTTAAAAAAAAAAAAAAAAAAAGGCACTATATGGGCATGTTTAAAAGATAAAGAAAAAACGTGATTTTCACCAGAGGGAGTCACTGACTGACTCTGTTTGCCGTCTCCTCAGGTCACGCCATGCCCATCAGATCTCTCACCTTCTCTCCAGACTCCCAGCTTCTGGTCACAGCCTCCGATGATGGCTACATCAAAATATATGATGTGTGAGTTCAGCTGGCAACTTGTTTTTCTTCCTGATACCAGTTTTCATTCTATAGATACTATATTTTTTATTTAAAAATGTGCAGTAGATATTGCAATGAAAGTAAGTGAGGGAGCTTGATGAGTTTACATCAGTGTCACAGCAAAGCTACAGTAGATGAATTACAACAGCAGGAATAACTGGTATATAGGGTAAAAGACTATAAAAGAGATTTTTTTTTTCTCTAACAAAATTTGCTGGAATTGCTCTGCAGGCAACATGCCAACCTGGCTGGCACACTGAGCGGTCATGGATCCTGGGTTCTTAATGTCGCCTTCTCTCCAGATGACACACATTTTGTCTCAAGGTAAAATGAACACTAGCTTCAGACCAGCTGCAGATGGATACAGAACTGGTAGTTTCAGGCTGCGCTGATGCTTGAAAACCTGCAATTTGGTTGTATAACAGTTAAAGAAGTGACTAACACGCAAACACAGACTACTAGCCCTGAAAGAAACGACACCATTGTACACCAGTAACGACCAGTAGGAGTATGACCAGCTAGTCTGCCTGTTGTGTGTTCATGAGTTAGCAGCAGTGTTTTCCTCTGTCTACTTTCCCACACTTTCACTCCTATTGTGCAAACCGTTGTCAGCTGATGCTGTTTTTCAGACAAAGTTTCCATTTCACAGTGCCAAGATAAACAGAGGAGGCCTAGATAAACCGTAAAACATGTAAAATGTTCTTTTCTGCTGCCTCCAGCTCGTCTGACAAGAGTGTGAAGGTTTGGGACGCCAGCTCCAGAGCATGTATCAACACTTTCTTCGACCATCAAGACCAGGTGACAAAGCCGACTGCATTTCTAATATAGAATTCAAAATGAGATCGTCATCCTGCTGTAGGTGCTGATGTGTTAGAGAAATACCAGTATGGCCAAAGTCATGCCGGGGCCCCTCACACGGCCCTGATGATTCAGCTCTGGCAAAAACCAATAAGCCCAGCTGTCATTAGATCTCTGGTTGCAGACGCCTGTGGGGAGTTTTATCTGTTCTCCAACAAAGCCTCTGATTGAATAGCACGGCTCCTCGGAGACGAGATCAGAGGCAGTTAGTCTGCCATATTGTTTCTGTGCCTCATTATTATGTGCAAAACCAGAAAATCTACAGGGACAATTTGCAGCCAATTAACTGTTCAGCTTTACTTTGGCTGTTTTTTTTCTGCTCACTTTCTGATCAGATTAACAGCGTTTTGTTGCAATTTAAGGGTTTTGTAAAAAGCTTAATGTCGTACTGGTGACCAAAAATGTTTCACTTGCAACTTGCTTAATCATAGTTATAAAAACAGAAACATATAATAAAATGATAATGCAGTGCATGCTGACAACCTGCTACCATGACAAACTTACGGGCGGCTGTGGCTCAGGTGGTAGTGTCCTCTGATTGTAAGGTTGGCGGTTCGATCTCCGGCCCAGTCGACGTGTCCTTAGGCAAGACACTGAACCCAAAGTTGCTCCCAATGGCAGGCAGCACCTTGCATGGCAGCTCCACAGGTGTATGAATGTGTGTGTGAATGGGCAAATGAGAAACATTGTAAAGCGCTTTGAGTGCCACTAAGGTAGAAAAGCACTAAGTGCTGACCACAAATGGAATTTTGTCATGGTCAAGGTTGTGAAAAACAAATTCAAGAATAATACATGACAGGAAAAGTCAAGCAGCCTGTTTTAATGCTCTCTCCTTGTGCGTGTCCTCAGGTGTGGAGCGTGAAGTACAACAGCAACGGCTCAAAGATCATCTCAGCTGGAGATGACCGAGCCATCCACATCTACGACTGCCCCATGTGATGAAGGACATCCAGGACAGACTGCAGGAGGAGAAGATCTTCACAGGTGTAGACTCAAACCATGGAGTTGAAGTTATTTGGGCAGGGAGGGAAGGAGGGGCAGGATTCAAGCTGTAAATGTCATGGGTTGTTTTGCACTGGCCAAGTATGGTCAAATAAAAGGGGGTTTTTTTTGTACCACTGTTGCATTTTATTTTTTTTCTTAAGCCAATGGGATGAGGATTTCACAAGCAGATATTAATCACTTTATGGTCAGTGATTTGAATTTGTAACATAACTGTGAATGGCGTATAACTATAAAACAATTAACTATATATCTTCAGATAAAATAAGCAGTTTGATAGGAATCATTGAAACAGTCAACATAGATATACTTTGCAATCTCCAGTTAGCTGCTTAAAAACTTTTTTTTTTTTTTACCTTTTATTATGAACTTAATGAAGTTACTTCCTTGTCAGTTTTGCACCTCCATAAATTGGAGACATTGCTTGGTCTGCTACATTGCAATAATCAAGTCTTTTTGTAGACTGATGTGTTTGAGAGGAAAAATACAACTTGATATAATATAGGCCTCGTGCTGTGCTGGACTGACAAATTGTATCCATTATTTTATTGTTGGATGTTAAGGCACATTATGAATTTCATGCTCACATTCATGTGAAGCCAGAAAACATTCTGGCATGTAGAAATGCAAGTTTGGTTTGGAGGGATGTAGTTTGAACAGCAGCAGTTTTGGAGATAGTATGAGCTAAAGCTCCCTCTAGTGGGTCAACAGGTGCACTGCTGTCTCAAATGCTTAAAAAAAAAAAAAAAGTACAAATCATCATGCAAGTGGCCAAAAATGGCAGTGATTCTGAAGTCTTTATTACATTTCATCAAAGTCCACAAGTTGTCAATGTTTAAAACACATCAAACTGTTTTTCTTTGTTTGTTTTTCCAATTCTTTGATACAGCAGGTAGACTGTAAATTTAGCCGTAGTGAAACACACGAATTCCTCCTCACAGGCAAAAGGTTCATTTTATTTGCTTTTCAGAAACTGTGGAGGATACGAGATCACTGTTGTTACCCACATGACCATTGCCTTCAAACTGAAAATCGATGTTTGCAAAAACAGTTTATTAAAAAAAGAGCAGACTGTGTCAGAGATCACTGAGATGTGTTTTCTGGCAGTAGTTTACTAGTCAAGTCTGAACACGACTACATTTCTGTGCTTCTCCGCGACATGACGGTATGAGGTTAACCTGAAGTGTCTGGTGAACTCTGAAGGCAACAGTGTATTTTAGTCTTGTGTGCTGGTGACCTGCTGCTGCCGTTACTCTTCTTCTGCCTTCATCAGCTTAAACCAAACGGTAAGTGTGCAGCTGGAACCGAACAGTAGCAGATTTGATCCCCAGTCATCCAAACAGGATAAATAATGTACATCGACAGCAGAAAATACTGGATTCTTTCACGTGGTCTAAGGCCTGTAACCTCATATGTGCACCTCTCCTGTTCATCAACGCTTTTCTCATTTTTCCTCCTGCTCTCATCAAGCTACTCTTTGTTTTGCAGAGTCAACGGGTGCAAAAAGACACTTGACTGATTGGCCCAACCAACACATGTATACAGAAAATTCACACTGAAACCTGCCCTACAGACTTCACAGACTGTTGGAACACAAATCACAGACAGGGTTTACAGAAAGGCATCAGTGAACCTCACATAGTCTAAGGCAGGTTTCACAGAGGCTTCTAGATCATATTTGCTGTAACAGAGCATCAAATATATTATCGTTTGGCTTAATTTTCACACTGAAGATATACTGATTTCTTCTGTACAATCTAATGACATTTAAATATCATTCAGGCCTGACGACAGATCAGCATGTTTACATGTCGAACCTCTGCACAGATATTTTTTTTCACTGGAATGCAGGATTTTTTCTTCTGTTAAGTGCTTTTCAGGACAGAAAAAATAGTTTCTCCAGATTATGGCACATTTAAAAACTTACTCCAGATACTACATATTTTACTGACAGTATACTGTAACTGATTCCTGTGTATATGTAGCTCTCTTTTAAAATCTGCAGCCAGCTGATTTACTCCAAATGTTCACAAGCTTCATGCTGCATTGGTACACGGCAAGAAACAATAACCCTGACTTGCTGTGTATGAAGGATTCCTTTCTAAATCCATTCATTGAAGAAAAAAAAGAGACTGGGACAGTCACTGGGTGTCAAAATATACAGTCACGGAGCTATGTACATGTTTCAGTGGGTCAGATAGTATCAATGTCACCTTTTTTTTCAAAAGTGAATTTAGTTTTGGCAAAAACCATTTCCACTGACTGAACATCTTCACATTTCATAGTAACAGGTCTGACAAACGGAAAATGACAACGTTGTAATGTTTGCAGCTCCCAAGAGTACCGAAACACAAACATCTCCATCTGCTGCATCTTCCTGCCAGTATTAAAAACAACATGGATCTAAAAGGCATGTGGACACAGCTCAACGGCGGAGCAGCTTCCCAGACTAGAGACAGATCTGGGTCATTGTCTGTTGAGTTGAAGGCTACAGCGAGGCTGTCCTGTTCCTTCTCGCCTTTCACCAGTGTCTGGTCTCAATCAGCTCAGCTCGCAGGCTCAGTCTCTTCAACGTCTCGTACCCGACCACGATGAGCACCGATGTGGGCGTGGAGGAGATGATGCGGGCCGACAGCCCCTTGGTCATCACCCAGACGCCCTCCTCAGCCAGCAGCTGCTTGAACGTCTCGATGACAGAGGATCGTCCCTCCACCTTTAACAGACAGGAAGAAACACCCTTGTTATCTGCACATCCTGTTCGCCTTGATCTGACCTGATAAACTCCCAAAAGGTCAATTCTGTTTCTTTCTGGGGATGATGTGATCACAGGCTCACATTTTCTCACAGCTTTTGTCTTTGTCTATAAAATGTCAGTTCTCAAAATAACCTGCTGCAACATCTCACAATATCATTATTGTCTAAACCGATGATATCCGTGTTACTGCCATGAATTTTCAATTCAAAATGATTGACAAAGAGAAGCATCAAACTGTCACATGTGAGAAGCTAAACAAGCAAATGTTTTGACATTTTTGCAGAAGAGAAAATGAACAGATTGTCAAAACATTTGCATTGTAAACATAAATATTGTTAGTCAACTAATAAATGTAACCGCTATAGCTCTGGTCAGAACAGCCAGAGTTTAAAGTTTGGTCTGATTTATTCTCAGGTCAGGACACCCTGTGATCCAAACAGTTACTGTCAGAAGTCTACACTTGAATTTGTTCTATGGCACTTCTCTAGATTGTTTCTCCTGACTAGAGCCTTGCTTGTGGTGTAAACTGCTCTCAGTTGTACATCACTTTGGATAAAAGCGTCTGCTAAATGAAATTGTAGAACTGTAGAAGTCTATGTAGAAGTTTATGTTGACATACATGAGCTCGCGGAACAAAAACTAAAGAGGGTCATTTACACCTTGAACATCTTGGTAAAGTTTTAATCTGCCTTATATGTACCCAGAATCTGCAGCTGCTCTGCTTACACTGTGCAGGTCCAATAAATATGTTTCAAGAAAAACTGCAGCGTTTTCAGTGTTGACAGAGGCGGCATTAATTTGTGCAATATTTCAAGCTGAAAATGGACTCCGGGCTGTTGACTCACTGTTGACTTACTTATTGACTCAATGGACATTTTTATTTAATTATTATAGTAGACGACAGGACTTTTCTTATTAACAGTATGCATTTTTGAATGGTTTCTTTTTCTTTTCTTTTTTTAAATTCATGGTAAAATACATGCATTTCTAAACATTTTCCCTGCAGTACAGAAAACATACTGAACCATGATCCCAAAACTGAGGTTCATGGTGAGCTTTTTAATTTTGTGCATCACTTTTTACACCACTTCTCCTCCACATTAAATGACTGGAATTCTGTGTTTGTGTTTAGCAACAACAACTCATTCATCTTCATGGCAACGGAGCCTGTTTCATATGCTTGTGAATACAAACAGCTTTTCGGAAGTTTCACTAATGCAACAAAATTTGTTGTGCAACTGCTACTTCCACTTTTAAATTAAATCTTTGAGCTCAGTAGACAAATGGATGTTAGAAAGACAAGCCAGTCCAGTGGTTCTACCCACGGTCACTTCAGCCACAGTCGTAATAAGTCATTGTAAGTCACTGCAAGTCTGATAATTCCTTGTCATGTCTTTTAAGGGAAGATTGAAGCAAAATTCTCCACCTTAATAGCATCTGTGCACTTTGTTCATTCCACTTTTTAAGATTTCGTTTGCATGCATTAATTTTTCATTGAATCTTCCCTAAATAAACCTGCATATTCATTTCATTTCATTCATTCATTCATTTTCATTCATTCATTCATACAGGAAGAAAATGTAAAAAATATATATATACATGTATTCCAATCTTCCATCCATGTCTGTTCATGACAGCCTTCACGTGGTGCACAGTGGGGGCTTTCTGTGATTACCTGTACTCTGGCACGAACAACATCCATGGGGTTGGTGATGGTGGAGGCGGTTGCTGCTGCCATTGGTCCTGCCAAGGCCTGCAGAATCAGATGGGGGCACTCACTAGGTGCAAGTAAGGAGAGCTGCTCTGGGAACGCAAACCATACAATAACAGTGTGAGGCCAAAATATTTCATTTAAGAGCATAGTGCTGTTTTTGAACAGATATGTTTGATACTGTAACTTCTCCATAAGCAGTAAACATTAAAGAACTGTAACAGAGTTTTAGCCACATTCTCAGTGTTGCCTTTTCCAGAGCTCTTTCTGACTGTCTCATACAGTTATACATCTTTATTTATAGTGAGGGTGAGCATGTGTTATGCCACATAGATGTATAAAAACAGACAGGAACAGTGTGTTGATTTACCTGCATAAAAATGGTAAAAAGGCCACCAGAGTGCACTGTTGGGGATGTACGTGAGTAGCGAGGCCACGTAGCCCCTATAAAATCCCTTGAAGCCGTCTGCTGCAAATATCTGCACTGTGATGTCACGAGTTTGCCCAAAAGTCAAACTGCGCTTCGACGCTGCAAGCATCAGTTTGGGTTTGGCCTTGAAGCGAGTCAGGTGTTCTCCTTGTCCTTGCATCATTAGGTGCTGAGACACCACATCTATGGGCACAGTGATGGTCTGAGCCACCAGCGACGCTGCCCCTCCTGCCACCACAGACTTCACCGTGTTACTGGGTGAGTACTGGGACACATATTTACGCACCAGTTCATAGGTGGTGATATAGGCCTGTCCTGAGATCAGGGTGAAGGTGTTGACCATGAAGCCGCGGTAGAGGCCTCGCACACCTTCTGCTCGTAGGATCTTGCAGAAAGCATCGAAAGTGCCAGAGTAGAGGGTCTTCCCCTTCTGTACTTGGAGGCGAGTGCGGATGAGGCTGGCTGGATAGACGGTGGCCCTGGTGGTCAAGGTCATGAACACGCCTAGGGAGTAGAACTTCCTCTTGTCCAGGTCCTCCCACTCAATGATCTGGATGGCGCCCTTCTGCTGCATGGCGCTGGTCAGGGCAGCGCTGCACCCCTAAAGCAGCCGATCTGTAGTCATCAATCCCACTGTGCAGTCCTGTGGTCAGATGGAAGAAAATGTTGGGCTCAACCACATATTTATTTGTGTGCTTAAAGAGACTCCAGATGACTGACATTATAGTGACAGATTAGAGCTGAAACATTTAGTCTATTAGTGGAACAGTTCATTGACAGAAAATTAACCTGCCACTCCGTCTGAAAGACAAAATTTTACTAGACTATATTCGAGTTTGGGACTGTTCATGTGACAAATGGGAAAACAAAAAGAAAAAATTAGTTTTTTGCACTTTTTCCTGAAAATTAAAACCAACAAACAAACAAAAAAAGTCAGCAATAAATGCTGTATCCATAATCTGACCTTATCTGATCTAATTGTTGTCATCATATTTTCACTAGGCCGTAAACTACATTTTCTTGTTTTTCTGACATACAAACAGTATATTAACTTGTGACAAATCATCATGTAGCTACACTGAATGCCAAACTGCTCCGGATGCTGAAGGCCAGGACCTTTCCTTGTAGCTTGCTGTCGTCACTGACTTCATCTCACCTCATGTGATCACTTTTGTTGACACCGTTCTGTTATATGCTACATTTTCCTGTTTGTATTATATACATACAGTAAATTAACTTGTTATACATACAGTAATTTAACTTGTTAAGTCTTCAATAAGCTACACTGAGTGCCAAATTGCTCTAGAGGTCAAGACCAGGACCTTGCATGGTTGCTGGATGCCATCCATATGTGATTACATTTGTGATTTGGAAAGCACTCTGGGAAAAGAAAAACTGCACACTCTGATTGAACTCTACATGCACCTCTCACCTCCTTTTTGTAATCCTTGACTGAGCACGCTGATGTACAAATGATCAATGTCCTTGTTGTATTTACATTACACAATTATGAATAAGTTATGCAATTACATAAAAATGGGCATTTAAAAGACATCAAGTACCAAACTTGACTTACCAAAGGACTGATTAAATCTCAGCATACAGAGGTCATTCAGCTCGAGATTAGGAATTTTAGATAATTTAATTCTGCACACAGATCAGACTGGTCAAAGACTTTCTTTATCTCAAACAAAGAATAACACGCTGGATTGAGGGACAGGATGTATTAAAGAGGAACTGACATGCTGCATTACACAACACATATCTACACACAACATTAGGTCCATGCTATGTGGGCGGACGGGGAGTGCAGAGGAAGTTTGACTGCCTCCTCTAAAAAATGTGCAGCACAAGACTTTCACACAAACCCTGATTTATTGTTGTTTATGTCTTCAAGTTCACGGTATTGATCAGTCACTGCTTTATCACACAGGCTCGTGCCTCCATTGTTGTCGTCATATACAGAGGAAACACGTGCAATGTCACACTGTGTACTCGCGCTGTTAGCTAGCTAACAACACGAGCGACTCTCCGCCATGTGAGACAGAAAAATACACACATTCAACGTGAACACACCAAATAAACGTACCCCTCCGGACGTCATGGAGCTCAGCTTCTCCGTCTACTGTGATAACCGCGCTGCCGTGTTAACTCTCGGGGCCTGCGGAGCGACAAGGTGGGTCACGTCTTCCGTCCATTACTACTGCTCAGAACAAACACTGTGAAAGGTGAAAGGTCAGGAGCTGTGGGTCGCACCAGCCGCTGCTCCAACACCGTCACAAACTTCTCTATGAAAGGTAAAAAAAAAACTAAAAAAATACGAGGACAGAGAACAGTTCAGTTTTTCAGGTGAGTCTGCAGCTGCTGTTTGCTCAGGTAACTGTTTGATTAATTTGACGATGTGGTGCATTTATGGTCCCGGTGTGAACGTAGGAATTACAAAAACCGCCATTTAACTTAATGTCACTTCAGTTAACGTGAACACTCACATTTGGAGTTATTTTAATTCTAAAGTCTTACCACACTGATTGTTTTGGATGGAGTCAGGCTTTTGCCTCGTTGTGCTCGTCTGCATCTGAGTGTTCTGTATCTATGTCCTGAGGGGATGGGGGTGAGGTATGTTTTATACTTATTTATGATTTATACGGCTTATTAATTTGTACATTATTATTTTTTCATTTTACACAAAAATGATTCATTTTGTTATCAGTTGCTGCACTTTATTATTTTACATGTATATTTATGTGTGTACACTTTGAGCAACTCATTTACAACCCTGGGAGTAATTTTGATTCCTCCCTGTTATTGTTAATGAGCCTGTCCCAGAGAGTTTATAAAATGCTGCCTACTAGGAAATCAGAGTTACATTAACCTTAAACTCTTTTATGATAGCTAAAGTAAAGGTTGGAAGAAGTGATCAGGTCGTTGAAGCAATAATCACAATATAGTACTTCTGAATTAGTTCTGTATTTAATATCCAAATTAAGTAACACGCTCTATCAGCAAATTGTACATTCATGTATCACATTTTGCAATAGTGTTATGGTTATGTCATCACATCCACTTACGATTTGATAAGAGACAGACAAGATAACAGTGACACATTTATTCTTTACCTGTAAAAGGCAGGCTGCAATTTTTAAAAAATGGTTATCACATTTTTAAAACTATTCAACATCAGCATATTGCCCCTTGTACTTTATAGTACTTTCCAAAATAGCATTCTGTACTCTCTTAACCTTAACACTCTGTTTATTCAATATACCACCAATTTGCACCTTATTGTAAATACTAACAATTTCGTGCATATTTTTGTAAATATCAGTGTTTTAAGCACCTTACTGTTAAAATTTGCATGACAATTGCATGCTCTTTTGTACATTGTTTCTTATCTATCTGTATGTAACACGTGTGAGCTACTGGATACCTTGAATTTCCCCAAGGGGCTGAATAATCTATCTATCTATCTATCTATCTATCTATCTATCTATCTATCTATCTATAGTGGTAGCTTATACTAGAAACTACCACTCAAAGTGTCAGGTAACATAAAGTGGAAGTACTCGAGTAAAGATTACTGCTTCAAATAAAGCATCTTCACAGTAAATACACTTAGTTTTATTAAATTGCTGATACATAAGTGTAAATGTGTATGTAGTGTTAAATGCTGTAAGCTGTGTTTGGAAATTAGTGCAACACAGCAGCAGTTACAAGCCAACAGAAACTTCTTTATCAAATAATAAAATAAATACGACAGATGGTGCATAGTATTGTAGATTGTATCTCCTTCTTTCTAAACTTTAAGAACTACACTTATTGTAAGTCACACTACAGCTTTATCTTGAACGCTGCACACATATAGTCCGAGGTGCCTTGAAGGCAGCACGAGTACACACCTACTCTGTCACGTGGGACCACTGCACGTTTAAAGCCACAGTCACACATATTATTATCATGAGCTGCCATGTGTAGTAATTAGCTGTTTAATAATTATATGTTCATGGATTACGTTTTCAGTGATTCATACAGAGCAATTGTAGTATATGCTTTGTTTTGTTAAAGAGTTTGCATCATCCCTGATATTTTATTTTATAAGCACATACCATACATTATTCATTTTTCCTAAAATTTGCTTTTTTGCTTATTTGTTTTTCTGGAGGCTATAAAGCCAAATATCTCATTTTCTTCTGTGTTGAACATAAGGTTTAAAGTGTGAACTAATTTACATGTGGTACCACATTTAACAAGTTGTTAAACAGAGATGAGCTTTTATTGGGATTATTTTATTTATTATTTGATAGATAGATAGATAGATAGATAGATAGATAGATAGATAGATAGATAGATAGATAGATAGATAGATAGATAGTTTTATTTAGTTGTTTTATGCAACAGGTAATTTAATCATACATGACCACCTTGTAACTTCAGATAACTAAACTCTGGGGGGATCTCTCACCATGGCAACTGAGAAAAGTGTATCTGGTGATCAAACCTGGGAGATCTGCTGGAAAGTTTCAGAAAAACCAAGTAGACCTTGAGCATTCATTGCTTTTCTCACATATTTTTTCCAAGGACAATAGTCAACTTGTTTTAATTCAATGGCTCGAGAATGAGGTAGTGAATTTTTGTACAATGTAATATTTTGTATTCATGTGTGCCTGTTAATGATTTTAAAACATCCTTAGTTAATCCCTCTGCCTATCAGCCGGGGTACACACAGCTTTAGAGCTATACTTTTTGTCTTATCTCACAGGTACTATATTTAATCCTTACAATTTTTCATAACTTTGCAACTCAGGTTGTTCCTAATGACTTTATATTATTGTGTCCCCTGAAATGCATACAATTCTGCATATGCAGGTTTAATAGATGGAACTATTTATTGTGCTCAAATTTGTCATGGATGGAGCCGATCCCAGCTGACTTAGGGCGAAGGCAGTGGACACCCTGGACAGGTCGCCAGCCCTTCGCAGCTCAAAGTAACATGATGTTCAAAGTTGGAAATATTAGATAGCAGTTATATATATATATATATGAATGACATCCTGTCAGAATATGATGAAGACGTGGCATGAGTTTGAGAGTAAAAACATAAATGTACCCACTTTTTAAGACTGTGGAGAAGGAGGAGAAAGATTTGAGGAGGTTTGCGCTTTCTCTCCTGCCTTTTAATGTCCGTAAGCTTAGCTGTAACACATCTAACGTATATCTCTATAATGCATTTTTGAATGACATCTGAATTTTTTGTTCAGTAACAATAGCAAGCAGATCTTGACAAGCTAGATTTAGTATTACTGAAATTTTATGACCTCCAAATAAAACAGAAACAATGTTCACTTTAATGCACTGAAATGATACCAGAATCAAAGGATGGTAAATAAGCTTTATGGATTATGGAAATTGTATGTGGCATAAAATCAATCAATTGTATTAAAGAAAATTATTAATTTTTGTTCTATGAATATTACAATTAACGGTAACTTTCTTGAAGTAGTAAAAATACTTCTTTTTCTGATGACATTTGTTTCCTAACCAAAATGATTTGAAAAGAAGTTAGTTAATATTTTGCTAGAATATCTGATTTTCACAGTAGTTTGTCTTTAGGGACAGGCAGTAGTCCTTGTGTGTTTAATCTGTTGTTTCAGATGAGGGTTCATCCTGTGTAAATTTGTTTTTATTGTTATCTTATTACTAATTGACGAGTGGGCGTGGTCTTGTACCCCTGCGCTCTGATTGGTCACCATCATGCGCTCTGATTGGTCGGCTCTGTGTCGTTTGTGCTGTAGTGAGAACGGGTCGTGTTGATTGCAGAAGTCATCATGGCGCTCACGTCCACAGTCAAAGGTAAAGGGATGTCTTCTGCTAACCTTCCGCAGCGAGCTGTCACTCGAATTGCCTTTCAACCTAAATGACAGGAATCGGTTTAAAAAACCTCCCTTGCCATAAAAAAACGACCTTTCGTTTGCTTTTAGCCACCGTTACATGAAGTGCACCGGCGTCGCACTGTTAGACACATAAAAGCTAACATTAGCTAGCTCGGTAAAGCTCCCTGTACAAGTCAGAGCTGTTAAATCAGCTAACGTCGCACACCAGCGTTGCCTTTGCTCTGCTCGTAATGACACAACTTCAGTGTACACGGCTTATGCTTAAATTTAGTGTTTCTTTTTCTTATCTCTTCAGGACGTTCTCCCGGTAACACGATAAGTGCTCGGCTAGCGAGAGTGTGCGCTACGATAAGAAGCAGAGTTAGCAGCTTGAACCTCAGCTAGCGGTGGAGCTGCTTCGCTCACCTTGTCATCAGCACACATGCAAAGATGACCTAATGTGTAGGGAATACCGAAGACGTTATTGACATTTCTGCTTGGTTAATATTCTCTATATTTGTCCTTACAATGTGTGGTTTTACCGTTATATTAATACGGAGTTAGCCTTTCTGTTCGGATCAGTCGAAAGCGGCATTTCAGACCTCCGTCGCAGTGACACTGACTGGCAAAAAAAACATCCAAAATGATGCTTAGGATTGAAGCTAATTTGTTCTCATTCTTATTTAAGCTGTGAGACAATACTGTGGAGGTTTCAGCCAGCCATCCAACCCACTGTTTGATCAGAGAATACAGTTTTTTATAAGCATTCATCTCCACAGCTAATCCACCACTGTTTTTGTTCTGCTGAGTTTCAGATAGTAAATAATGTTCTGTATATTCCCATGTTGCCTGTTTTGCATGACTGTAATAATTTTTACATACAATTAATATGTGAGCATTACTGCTGGGCCTGACCAAAGCTTCTCAGTGTGGCAAGAGAATTACAGGTTTATTGTTGTCATAAATATTCTTCCTGGTATACTGATGTAGCATACCCTAGTTAATATCTTTTTTTTATTACAGATTTTATTCATAAACATGTTTGAGTAGAGCTGGTTGCACAAACATTGTTTTCTTGTCAGTGTTAGGCCGTGGTAAAAGCTTTGTTTAAAACTGGTTTATGTCTGCCTGGGTAAATTGAGGTAAATTACAGGATTTTGTTGATTCGCCTGCTCCTCCAGCAGCAGTGATAATCTTCCTGCTGCAGTGCCACACCACTAGTGAACGTGTTTAGAGGAAACACTGCAGATGAAGAAGATAAGAAACCCCCAGTGGGTCATTCATGTTGGTGTATTATCAGATTTGTAGGAATTTCGCTGGACCAGTTTTATATGTGTGTTTACATGTAATTGTGAGGGCCTCGACTTTCATCACAGCAGCTTGAAGACATTCTTCCCATTTGCATTTATTTTTGGGCTCATCCAATGTATTGTGTGCAGCTTTTGCTTCAGATGGATCATAAAATGTGTTGTTTTCAAAGGCAGAAACCGGATAGCTAACGTTACAGCATGATGTCCTGTTGAGTAATACTGTGCCAAGATTCAAAAGACCACTCTGGCTACAGGGGTTCAGCATTTGCTTAGCTTAGTTTTTGCATTAGGTCTTTAACATTTAACAGCTACAACATGATAGCCACTAACAATCTCTGCTACTACATGGTAAATGTTAATCAAATATGTGACCACCTGACAAGTTATTTAGGCAAGTTGTATCCTTGTCTTAAGTAACTTGCTTTAAGGAGATCCTCACTAGGTTAATGTTAGTGGTAGTTGTTGGCTTTTCGTTTTTACCACTTTGCTTATTTTTTAAGTCTCGCATAATATCCCTGGTCAGTCAGTCATTTAAGAGAAATGCCAAGGCACATAGAAATATATTTTGAGGCGACTATATGTGGTAATTTCCTTGATTTGTAACATGCAGAGTGGAACTGTAGTTGTACTTTTAATAAATGTTTATTTCCCCTCTGCAGAGCACCCATACAGCCATCTAACTGACACACTGAACGATGGAAGGATCAAGTTCTTCAATCCACATAAATTAAATGATCCAAGATATGGTGAGTTCAAGCTCTCACAGTGGAGACTTTTGCAAGATATTGTGTGTTTAAGAACATTGTGCACTAGACATCGGTCAACATGGTTCACTTCTTAGTTGCTTTATATGCTTGTGTTTAATGCTGCTGTGTCCCAGTGATAGCTGTGTGCAACCCTATGTATATGGAAAGTTTTAAAACCATTTGTAAATATACTTACCTGTAGCTTAGGGTTGTTCCTGAATTGACATGTAAGCTTACATTGGTTTGGTACTTTATATTCTAAACAAATTCTCAATGCATCACTTCTCCAAATGATTCAAAGTTGTGTAACAAAGACTGTAAGCAAAGAATTTAATTTAATTGCACATTGTTTATTTTTGGGAAATTAAGGACAGCACCTGTTTTTTGTTTGATTTGTGTAGACAAGCTGCCTCTATCCATCCGTGTCTTACTGGAGGCAGCAATTCGTAACTGCGATGGCTTTTACACAAAAAAGGAAGACGTCCAGAACATCTTGGACTGGCAGCAGCAGCAGGATAAAGCCGAGGTGCCGTTCTCTCCAGCTCGAGTCCTCCTGCAGGACTTCACGTGAGTTTCAATCGTTTTTACATCAACACTAGTCCCCTGTGCTGTAAAACATGAGATTTAATCAGCTCCCTTTAATTAGACAAATCAGAACAACAGATCGCTGAGTGGTGAGATGTGGGCAAAACAGATGATCTATCAGCAGTTAGCTTATCAGATCTTTTGTCATCATGATTTTTCTTTTCTTCTTTGACATAAACAAGTCATTTATGTTTTAAGTTATGTAAATAAAAAGGGACTGTGAGATTTATCTTATAAATCACTGAAGGAAGGTTTAATTTTTTTCCCTCTGATTTCTTTGACAGTGGTATTCCAGCCATGGTGGACCTGGCAGCCATGAGGGACGCTGTAGCCAAACATGGTGGGGACCCAGGCCTGGTCAACCCGAAATGCCCCACAGACCTCATAGTAGACCACTCGTTACAGATTGATTATAGCAAATGGTGTGTTTGCGTCTATATTTATTTATTGTGTGTTGTAATGAACTAAAGATGCACTCAAGTATGACCTTTGCCTATTGTATCTGTTTATTATTTACCAAAAGTTGAATTGTAAAACAAAAACAACAATGTAATAATTAATACATAAGTAAGATTGTAGATCTGCTTTATTTAGTTTGTCTTTTTTTAACATTTTATCCACAGTGCCATACAGAATGCTCCCAACCCTGGTGGAGGAGACAGTCCAAGCCAGAGCCACGGCCCTTCTCGCTCAGTACCCAGGCCTCCGTCCAGAGGAGGCTCACAGTGTGGAGGCCAGCGGGGCTCCTGTAGTAAAGCTGCCTGCAGCGACTCTCCTGCCTCCCCAGGTCGACCTTCAGCTTCTGTCCAACAGATTGAGAACACACCTCTCCTCTGCCCTTTCCACCTGCAGCCCGTCTCCGAGTAAGATTTGAAGAACATAATGGCTGACAATGTACAATATGAGGGTAGTTTAATTCAAACAACAGTGGAAAAACAGACCTTTAATTTGGAGATTTGTATGGAGAGGATGTGAGCAGTTCTGCATTTGTCTCCTGCTGCTTTTTAATGAAGTCTTCAAAATGCAACACTGCACTTTGTCAAATTTTCACAGACTCATGTTTGTCCTCATGTGTTTTTTTGAGGAGTCACATGGTAATCACTTGTTTTACAGTTTTTGAAAATAGTACATTTAGGTCAAATGAGTTGAGATATTATTACCGATTGGCACAGAGTTCCCCTTTTTTGCATGGTTGTATTGATTTGTTCATTTTTTGCAGAACTGAAACAGCTGTGAAGAATCAGGAAATGGAACTAATCAGAAACAAAGAAAGACTTCAGTTCTTCAAGGTATCATCAAGAGGAAATGCCATTTTATATTTCTTTGTCAGACGGTGATGCATAGGAACACTCTTGGGAGTGTATTTTATGCAGTATAGGCAACATTGTAATCAGAAGGCTGTCTCAATATATAAAGTCAAAGAAGTCTGCATCTGTCTGTGTTACAGAACAGAACAAAATCATATGTTTGTCTTGAAGAGGATGCTCAGTTAAATGTTAACGTTTTTTTATTCTCTTCGCCAAACAGTGGTGTTCAAAAGCATTTAAGAATGTGAACGTGGTCCCCCCGGACGTTGGCACAGTCCACCAGGTGAATTTGGAGTATCTGTCCAGAGTGGTGCAGCTCAGCGACGGTTTCATCTACCCTGACAGCGTCGTGGGGACTGACTCTCACACCACCATGATCAATGGCCTGGGCATCCTTGGCTGGGGTAAAACATTTTTTGACTAACATTTCATTGCAATTGCTGACATTTTTGTTGTAAACTTGCTCAACCAGTTGTCGAATATCTGTGACTTGCACTCTTATTTGAGTGACTCTCCTGAGGGGTGAAAAGTGTTCTAGTGCTTCACATGTTTTAAAAGAAAACTCACAGTGTACAAGAATCAAAAACTGTTTGTCTAAATAGTCAAAGAGATACTATGGTCACTTTGCTCAAAGTGCTTCTTATTTTCTTGTTAATTCTTTTGTCTTCCATCAGGTGTTGGAGGAATTGAGTCGGAAGCTGTGATGCTGGGTCAGCCAGTATCTCTGTCCCTTCCTCAGGTGGTGGGCTGTAAGCTGGTGGGCTCCATTAACCCTCTGACCACATCCATAGACATCGTCCTCGGCATCACAAAGGTAGCGCTCCTCTACTTTGTTGAATGTTTTGTCTTTCTGTACAAGTGTGTTTTATCAAAACAAACTACAGCAATTAGAAGTGGACCTGAGCCTTCAATACCAGTGATATAAAAATGCAACGTATACGTATGTTTTGTGTGCTTTTATTTTTCAGCACTTGCGACAAGCTGGTATTGCTGGGAAGTTTGTTGAGTTTTTTGGACCTGGCGTTTCCCAGCTATCGGCTCCTGACCGAACCACCATTGCCAACATGTGCCCAGAATACAACGCCACTGTTAGCTTCTTCCCTGTCGACCAAGTCACACTCGAGCACTTTAAAAAGACAAGTGAGTTAGCCAAGCGCTACTATATGTTATGAGATTTTTAATGTACATTCCAGCTTAGTGAAGCAGCTTGTGTTTTCTGTCTACATTTACTGAATATTTGCTGCTGCATCCAAGTGTAAAAATTGGATGAAGAGTTGCTAGTGTGTAGCACAGTACCAACACCAGATTTTGTCATGGCATTTCGTGGATTGTTACGTTAACGTGTCATAATTCACCTTCCCAGATTTTGCCCAAGAAAAACTTGAATTGTTGGAGTCTTACATGAAGGCTGTAAAACTTTTCCGAAGCTATGAAGACACCTCTGAAGACCCCGAGTACTCTGAGGTAGTTTTTACAACTGAATCCAGTCCAGTCTTGACAATATTTGCAATATATCTGAAACACTACCCTGAAAAGTGCATCAAGAGTAATTATCTCTCTTATTAGTATGTTTCACCAAAACGTTTTATTTTCTCTGAATAGTTTTTAAAGCCTAGAAAAGTAGTGTGACAATCTGAAGTGCTGCATTGTGGTTGATGTTTGCAACAATTTGAAAGAGTATTAATTTGCATAATGGGTTGTAATAAAGCCACTAATGTTTGTGCAGGTGATTGAGTTTGACCTGAGCTCCATGGTTCCCCATGTCAGTGGGCCAAAGAGGCCTCAGGACAGAGTGGCAGTGAGCAGCATGAAAGAAGACTTCCAGAGTTGTCTTGATGAGAAGGTAACATACTAAACACAATAAGACTCATTTTAATATTGATTCTTGTACTCAGAGCAATAAGTGTGGTTTATGTTAACAAGAGACTTGGCTGAGCTTTGGGGTTATAATAACCTAGTTTATAGAGATCCTGGCGATGCTTTGCTCACATCTTTTGTTGCTTGGTAGTTTAAGTCATGCATTTTCTTCTATCTGTCTTCAGGTGGGTTTTAAAGGCTTCCACATCCCTAAGGAGAAGCAGGAGACCTGTGTTCCTTTCCTGCACTGTGGTCAGGAGTACCAGCTGGCCCATGGCTCAGTGGTCATCGCTGCTGTTATCAGCTGCACCAACAACTGCAACCCATCTGTCATGCTGACTGCAGGTACAGGACTTCAGATTTCCTCTCTCGTGTCATGTGTGTATGAGCGAGTCAGCTGGTCATTTTTACAATCAGTAAAGCTTCTTCTAACATGTGAGACTGACAAGCTTGTACCTTTATCTGTCATGTTACAATTCCATTACACAGTCATGTAGTCTCTTATATTACTGACAGATTCTAAACTCTGTGAACATTGAATTTGTGCACGAATGAATGAATGAAATTACAACTGCACCTCCCCACAATTTCTATTTCTTCTTTTACTTACAAAAACTAACATGCTGCTCTGTGATACTTAACTTTCCTGTGTGGCTTCTTACTAACTTGCAGTAATGTAGTGATATTTGTGATCGGCAGGTCTTCTGGCCAAAAAGGCTGTGGAGGCCGGGCTTGTCGTCAAGCCTTACATTCGGACCAGCCTGGCTCCTGGAAGTGGCATGGTCACTCACTACCTCAATACCAGTGGAGTCCTGCCTTACTTAAGCCAGCTGGGGTAAGCATGTATACTTAATGACCACACACACACACACACACACACACCCACACACACCCTTTTAGCACCAAGGCAGTGACCTGGGTTAAAGTGGCAATATCAGGTCTGAAGTGGTGCCACCTGCACTTGAGCAGTCTACGGTTGACCAGCTTTGGTTTTAGTCTTTTGCATTTGCATTGTTTCTTTTATATTATGACTTAATGCATTTTATGTCCTATGTAAAGGAATTTTATTGGCTTGTTGCAAGGAGCAGTATAAATAAACTTCCCTTGCCTAAAGATGATGACTATTTGTTATATGTTTATAATCCCCCTCAGCTATGAATTCTGTTTGTCTGGATTGTATATGAAGTTATTTGTAACTACTAACTGCTAGTCTGTGAGATGAATTCGTGATTAGGTTTCACCATTAAAACATTACAAATGTCTGAGCTAATAAAGGTGTCAGAATCATCTGTAGCACTGTGTTGGGGCTCAAACGATGCATGAAACTTTACCATCACACCTTTGTATGCAGACAGAGAAATATATGTTTCAGTTTAAGGCTGATAATAACTGTGTACTGAGTGTTGTCATTTGCTTTAATAACTGCAGCGTGCTCTAAGAAAGAAAAATATCGTAGAACATGTGTTACATTTCTGCTGTCAAATACAGGGTTTGTGTCAGAACAAGTAACACTAAAGATGCTAAATGTTTTTTTTTTTCCTTTTACACAACGCTGTGTTGTCGTTCATGTGCAGGTTTGAGGTGATAGGTTACGGCTGTGCCACCTGTGTAGGGAACACGGCACCGTTACCAGAAGCTGTCGTAGATGCAATCAAACAGGTGAGATCTTCATAATGCTGCATGAAGCTTTTCATGTGACTCTTTAATAAAACTGATTATTTCACAGTCTAATCTTGATGATATCTTTTGTTTTAGGGGAATCTGGTGGCCTGCGGTGTGCTATCTGGCAACAGGCACTTTGAAGGGCGCCTGTGTGACTGTGTGCGTGCCAACTACCTGGCCTCCCCTCCCCTGGTGGTGGCTTATGCTATTGCAGGCACTGTGGGAATCGACTTTGAGAAAGAGCCTTTGGGTAAGCAAGGCAGCGTCAGGAGCCCTCTTAAGCTGTTTCTGTCAGAGCTGAGGATCACCAGGGGATTTTAGGAATTACACCGAGTGAGCATGTCTTGTGTACACAGGTATCATCCAGAAAGCAGGTGAAAAAAACCAACAGTAGCAATCTTAAGCTAAAGACCAGACCTGGTTTTATCTAGTTTAAAAAAAAAAAACAACTAGAGTATACACACTGAATTTCCACTGATTCGACACTGACGTGAAAAATGTCACTGTGAAGCAGTCAGTGACAGAAAGAGCTATGTTTTGTCATTTAATGAGCTCTTTTATTGAGCCTCATATTGGGCTTCTCCTTGTTCGGACAGGTTTCACATCAGAGGGGAAGGAGGTGTATCTTCGTGATATCTGGCCGTCCAGAGAGGAGGTCCAACAGACTGAAGAGGACACAGTCATCTCCTCCATCTTTAAGGATCTCAGAGGAAGGATGGAGGTTAGGAGATGAGCTTCATTATTTCTTTTTCACTTCCTGACAATGTGTTTGCACTGAAAGCATAGCATGAGCAGCATCAAGGACTCCGTCTGTAGGCCTGCATAGGACGTGTCCAGGACAAAGCGACTGTAGTTACACACATATAATGAAGGAAAATGGAACTGAAGCCTTAAAAAAAAGCCTCTTTTGGTCGCATTACCTCTCGGAGACTGTATTGATTTACATAGAAGCCTTTTGTTTCATCAGACATGTGTGAGACGGACGACTTAAAGTCACTGCTGAAATGCTGTCTGTGTAGACACGTCGTTATCCTGCTGGCTTTTATGTCTGCATATCTTGTGGTTTAATGAAGTGAACTAATGTTCCTGTGTTCTCTTCCAGAAAGGGAACACATTTTGGAACAACATCGAGTGTCCAGACTCTGTAGTTTTCCCCTGGGATCACAAGTCCACATATATCCGTTCACCATCTTTCTTCAGCAAATTGGTAAGTCCTCTGAGCTTTTGTTGTACACATTCATTGGCTGGATGTGAACCACAGAGTATCTCCTGTGTTCCTGTTTGGAAGTAACACTGGAAAGCAGTAAATACGTCTGGAGTTTCAGCTAACTCCTTCTAAATGTTTTTTGTGTCAGAGTAAAGAGGTGCCTCCTCCTCAGTCGATAGAAAACGCTCATGCCTTACTGTTCCTCGGGGACAAAGTGACCACGGACCACATCTCACCAGCAGGCAGCATCGCCAGGGTTAGCGCTGCTGCCAAGTACCTGCAGAGCAAACGGTCAGTCTCAAGCTTCAACCCTCATGAAAATCATTTTTGCTGACAACACACTTCACTGCAAGGTTTAAAATGGCACTCACCCAGGTGCAGCTTTGTGTTCAACAAGATTTTATAGTCCGATAGGCTGACTGAGGGGTGACAGCACCAATTTAAATTTCGATACAGCTGTGGCCTGTCAGTAAAAGGTTCTACTCTCTAAATGAGAAGATTTCACAGAGTGACAGCACATAACAAAGATGTGACTCTTTTCCACTGGGCACAGTTTATCATGGCACAAATTCAAATGCATTTACGTTCTCTTTTCAATATTTTGCCTCAGACTGACACCGCGAGAGTTCAATTCGTATGGCGCTCGCAGAGGGAATGATGCAGTGATGACCAGAGGCACGTTTGCCAGCATCAAGCTCCAGAATCGATTCATCGGCAAACCAGGCCCAAAGACTTTGCACATTCCTTCAAACCAGACAGTAAGCAAGAACTTCATCAGACCAGGGACCTTTGCTTTTACACCTGTGTGAAAGAGTTGTTTTTAGCTTGTTGTTTCTGGCAGACAGCCGCAGCTGTCCATCACAGTTTGTATGACTGTTGGTTAGCCAGGTGTTACATTCTTACTGTGGACTTGTAAAGCTGGGAGGCTAACGAGTTGTGTGTGGAGGAGGGGGCTTGAAGAATGGCAGAAGTAGACTCTTAGTTTTTATTTTACACCTCTGAGTTTATTACAACCACAAAGCACAATAAAAATACATTTTCACTGTATGAGACCTTTGATAATGTGTTGTTTCTGCCACATGAGAGTTGCTGCTGTAACTTCCTCTCTTCTTGTGTGTCTGATCAGCTGGACGTCTTTGAGGCAGCTGATCGCTATCAGAGAGACGGTGTTCCCCTCATCATCCTGGCAGGCAAAGATTACGGCTCTGGAAACTCCAGGGACTGGGTAGCCAAAGGACCATACCTGCTGGTAAACTACCGCATGCTCAGTTTGCTCAGGACTAGCAACAAGCTACAATTTTCACTTTGAATTTTGTGGCACATTTACACCAGAGTAGTTTCATCCCACAACAAGCTGTCTATGTTAAATTAATCTGACTTTAGAACAAATGTTTATTTTCAATGTGACACCTGTTTTTTTTCTTACAATTGAAAAATAATTATTTTGACAACCTTTGGCTTTCTGAGAGATTGTAGAATATGGAAATGAGCACAAAAAGACTTGCACAATAGCATATTCAGTGAAGATCAGCTACTCTACTCCCTCGCTTGCTTTGGCCACTCTTCAGCTTCTGTCTGGTTGCAGGGGGTGCGTGCAGTCATTGCTGAGAGCTTTGAGAAGCTGCACAAAAACCAGCTGGTGGGAATGGGCATCATGCCGCTCCAGTTTCTGTCCGGCCAGAACGCTGACTCGCTGGAGCTCAGTGGGAAGGAGAGATTCAGCATCATCCTGCCAGAGAGCCTGAGTCCGAGGCAGCAGCTCACTGTCAAGGTAGGCAACGCTGCAGATGTGCTGCTTTTTCTTTTTATTTAGTACTTAGATGTCAAGTGCAGTTGTCTTTTAATAATTGGTTTCATGAGGGATTTGTTTCTGTGTTCTCTTGCAGACTGGCCAAGGAAAGTCCTTTGACGTCACCGCTCTTTTTGACACTGAGATGGACATTCTCTTTTTCCAACACGGAGGGCTTCTCAGATACGTTGCCCGGACTTTGCTCTGAAACAGCCTGCAGCCTGATCCCCAACCTGCTGAATGTGCAGTAGGTCCACGAACAGCAGCCCCTCTTCATTTAGTGTCCTCAGCATGGACGACAAAGGCTCACAGAAGCAACACGAGAGCAGATGTTTTGTCCGTTTGAGCTGGATTAGCGTCTCCAGACTTTTGAAAGTCAGTTTAAAGACCTGATGTAAGACCTGTACCAGAGCTGCTTCTAAGTCACTACACGAGACTGTTTCTACATTGGCGACAGCAGTCCTCACAAGAACATAAAAACCAACGCAAGAAGAAATGGTGACATTCACTCAGCAAGGAGATTGGATCCTAGACAACCTTCGAACATAGCTTTTTTGTGTTTAGTTGTTGGCATTCTGAGAGGACTTTTCTTTTATCATGGAAGTTAGCCAACAAGAACGTGATTCTGGTTCTGTTGTCATTTAACTTAAAAACAATCCTGCCGAGACGGGCGAGGTACGATGGCATGAATACGTTGTTTTTAGGGTGCAGTACAACCTGTTTTTTCTCCACTCATCCAAGTCAAGTATTGTGAATTTCAGAAATTTGCAGAATTGATGTCAGTCCCCAGTATTTCTTATTGGGGCCAAACAACGTGATGTAAATTTAAAATGCTGTTAATATTTCTTTAATCAAACATTTTTGCAGAAAGTACACCTGCTTCCTAATAGTCACTTTTTATTGTGAAAAAAAATGTAAACTTCTTTTGTTTGCTGTCACTGGTTAGCACCTACATAAAGATGGCTCCTACTTCAACCGACAGTGCTCTGCATCACATCAAAGGTCAAATAAAACAGTTTTCCAGCACTGAGAGGTTAGCTGTTTCCACTGTTGGTGCTAAGCTAATCTACTGCTGGCCGTAGCTTCAGTCTTAATTTGCACACAATGGGCATCGATCTTCTCATCTCAGCAAGACGGTGAATTATAATATTCCCCGCTGTCACACTAGTCCTTTAAGAGACTTGCTTTAACAACTGGTTTTATTTTTTGACACGTTACTGAGATTTGGCACCAAGTGATAGACTTAAAGTGTAATTGTAGCGCTTTGTCTCTTTTTCATGCCACTGTGTGATGTGCGTCATTGGATGGGATCAGCTCTCAGACTTGTTAAGTACTGCTAAAGCTCCTTGCATGAGGAGACTGTCAATCCATCATGCTGAGAACTGAGTGATAATCACTGCTTTATCATTACCAGCTACATTGCAGTTTGCAGATTTGAAGTGAATGGACACCAGCCCTGCCTATAAAACATCACAAGTCCCATGTGTTGAGGTCCTGGACTTGTCTTTAAGTCATCGTACTTCTTTGTGTCGGCTCTGATTTGACATCATGCATGTTGGAACCACTCTGACTCAGTATTTAGGTAGATAACAGCTCATTCTGAAATCCTCCATCCAGTGTAATAATAACATGGACTGGAGCCTTTGTGCATTTATGTTTTCTAGAGAGCATGACATCGTGCTGGCTTGATAACTTCTGGATTCATACCTGCAGTTGCGTGCAAGATGTCAAAACCATTATCTGCCTGAAACTTTTGCAAAACCGTCCTTCATTTTGAGACTTAGCAAAGACGGTGTTTTGCTTTGTCTGACTGCCAAAACGAGCTGAAGCAAGTAGCGAGCATGTTCTTTGTTCTTTGGGTGCCTCATATAAACACTGGTCTCTCATACGGCTTCATATTCCAGGACACACCTGGTCTTTTTAGTTCCTCAGCTAAGCCGGCCTGCCCGATTTTACATTTTGCCTTCTTAGTTTTAGCAGGTTGTTGTTATTTGTCAGTAATAGCAGGATGAAACATGGACCGAATCGTCTGGCAGTTAGCTGGTCCACTGCTGCTGCTTCTATTATCTCACTGTCGGGAGGCAACGTATGCAACACAATTGTATCGCTGCACACACGAGAGGGTGTCTGTATCTCTGAATCATATTGTAAATAGTTTTTAATAAATGGTAAAGCAAAGCTGGCGCTGTAGTAGTCTGTGAGGAGGGCTCTATTCACTGTCTCAGGACATTTAGGTCAAGTCACAGGGAAACAAATGATGTAATATCTCCTGGTGCGTTAAATGTGAGAAAATTACAACACTCGCATCATCAAGGGTTTGCAGGTATGAACGAGTTTGGATGGAAAGTCCAAATGTTTTACATTCACTAACAAGTTAAAGTCAGAATACGGACGCATGCAGAAGATTAAATGAGACTTTTATGTTTGTAATGAATCCCAAAGCGGCCCCAATTAACCAAAAAGGTTTCTTTTTGCAGAGGAAGATGAGTGAGTTAATAAAAAAGTCTTAATAATACAAATTTGAGCAGTAAAGAGTTTGATAAAGATATGTGCTGAGCAGCTCACTTTATAAATTCATATATTTAGCTTTTTGCACTATTTCTTGTTACTTATTGACCAACATATATACAGATAACAGCTGATATGCTGTAATCAAATATTGATTAATATATTTCCCAATGTGGTTTTACATTTGCGGTCTTAACATCTAATCTATGAACTTTATTGACTTCTGTCACCAGCATGAACCTCCAAAACAACAGAAGTAGTGTCATCCTACGATTTTTTTTTCATGTTTTATACAAATATTGCAATTTACCTGCATTTTATATTATAACTCATCATCAAGTATATTCATTATTAAACGCAGAGGATCAGAAGGAAGACTTATAAATCACTGGTAAACTCACTGATATACAACAATCAGACACTACATTTTAACCACTCAGTGTGAGGTGAATAACATCGATAATTTCGTTACGATGAAATGTTCTGCTGTGAAATTTTGGGTCTTGTATACATGTGGATGTACTTTCAACCTTTAATGTTGCAAATGGCACCCACTGATGAAAGTGACCTCATTCACCAGGACAGTGCACCATGCCACAATGCAAAAAACATTTTCAGAGCAGCTTGAGGAACCTGATCAAGAGCCATCAGTGTTGATCCAACCATCAAACCCAACACATTGCTTAAGCATCAGTGGAACATGCTCTCTTCTCAACAGCAACAGTTATTGGTAGGTTTTTTTTTTAGATTTAATAGCTGTAACTGTTTAACATGCTAAAAGTGAGCTTGTGGGGGAACAAAAAACCCAATTAAAGAAAGAAGACACTTAAGTCAGACGTTCTTTATGAAATTTCTGAGTGTAAACAGTGCAACTTTTATTGATTTGTTTTAAAAGAATTTTCTATGACACAGTGCATGTTGCTGACATTGCTCTGCACATTAACAAGTGAAAGTACACGAGGCCACACTAACCAGTTTTAATCGAGTGATGTCGAAACAGCAGTGGCAAAAAAACCAAAAAAAAAACCTGTGCAAAGAAACATCTGCAAGGTAAATGATGCCTTAATGAGAACAAAAGTTACAGTGTAGCGTCATCACTGCACGGCTTTAGTTTGTGTGTGTGCAAATCTGTAATTAAAGCTGTAATCGGAAGGATGGCGGCCCAGCCACGTAAAGCTGTGACGCGGGTTTGTTACCGTTTCATGTTCAACTACAGGCTGAGGCTTGAGGGAAGAAGTGGGTTCACTACATCAGCATGTTCACTATATGGCATTAATGTCACATCTGCATCATCAGTCCAGCTCTGATGAGCTCACGCTGGCTGTCAAAGGACCATCCCAGTGTTTTTTCATGTTATTGCCCATTTACTAAAAATCACAATTGGTATTGTTTCGTGCTGAAATGATTAGCAGCATATTAATTACTTGATCACTGAAGTCACTCATCAAGTAAAAATGGCAAACATTTGATGGTTCCACATCTGCTTCTTTTCTGCTGTATGTCATAAATTAAAGGAACCAGGCTGGTATTTTATGGAAACATTTCTCTTTACGTTCATCTTTTACAATTAAGAAATTCAACAAATGTACTGAATGCATTTCCTTCCTCAAAAACATTCACTACATTTTTTTTGGAAGAACCTGAAGCCAATGTTTCTATCCGAGATCACTCCCGATGCTGCGCTACATATACAGACCGCCGTTTTATTTAAGTGTCTGAATTCTGAGTGTGCACATTTTTCAAACAAACTGCAATGAAACAAAACATCCAACATGTACACTACTTTCTGCTAATAATCCCACAATGCAATGCGTTTTACAAATGCACAAAAAACAATTAAGCAGCTTAGCACGTGTTAGTGATGATGTAAGAATAAACTAATCCACTCTTGCCCTGCAGCACGACTGACAGTAAAAAAAAAAAATAGAGGGTACCCTTAAATATGTTGCGTCTGGACAAAACAAGCAAAACTAAACCTTGGGAATAATCCATCAGTAAAAGGACTGTTAGTTGCAGCTTTATTATTCTTTTACATCTCTACCAACCATACTTCACAACCAGCCTTTCAGTTAGCATTCAGTTTCCAGGTTTCATTTCATGACTACAGCGTGAAACTACTTGCTGAGACTTGAAACTAGCTTGCGTTGGTTAATCCATACATTGTCAGCATTTTCTGGTACAGTTTTTCTCAAAGTTAGTCATTGTTACAGGCAATGCTGTATGAAATGTTAACCGACACTTACTGTACAGCATTACCACGCAGCAATGACGCAACTTTGACAAAAACAGACATGATATTCGCTGAGAGGATTACCTGTTTCAAGTTTTCATGTTCATACAGGGTGACCGGTAAAAACAAACAACACACTTAATTTGTAGTAAATGGGCTTCAAACACTAGCGTGGTTCTTAAACGTCAGTGTTGACATGACGTTGTTATGGCTGCTGGAGAAGTGTTAACAAGCCTCTGCACCACACACAAGTGTCTACAACTTTCTCCCAAACTGGTGTCTGGAGACAAAACACCATTTTGATCTAGAAGGCACAGACATAAAGTTTGTACAATGACTGAAATCAGTTTTAAAACATTAAACCTACAACCTTGACCTCCAACATAACCCTTGACCATAGCTGTTGCCCCTGCTATGTGAATGCCTCTCATCACCCTGCATCCCTCCCCTCAGTATCATAGTTCTTTAAATCTGAAAGAAAACAAAACAAACAAACATGGCTGGTACTTAAGTACTTTATCCACCTGGTGGAAGTGCTCATAAATCTTACTTTCTTTTTAAACTGTTATTTAATCCCTTTGAGTCAGTAATAAGAAGAAACAGAGTGAGACTCGTGGCCACTGTCTTCATCTGGGTCCCCAGAAATTTTTGATGAGAGAGCAGCCGCTCTGTAAACAATTAACCACTGCTGATGTAAAGGAGCTCCTGATCACACGAGGGAGAAAATCCTGAGAACAACGGACTCGGTTCATTTCCCTTCTCTTGTGGAAATTAATGGAATCATTCATCTGCACTTTTTCGTTTGTCCATATCTTTGTATATGCAAACTCTTTTCATCTAATAAGAAAATATTTGTGGAAGGTTAAATGAAAATATACAATTATTAATACAATAGAATACAGAGCTATATGTTAAAGGTGATTAAAAAAACAGATTGATTGTATCTCCCTTTACAATGCACGCATTTTCCTTGGTTTGAAAGGCAAAAGAGGTAAAGTGTATAAGAAAAAGGCAGCCTGTTTTGTCGTCCAGAAGGCTGGTGCTCGAGGATTAGGCGATTGCTTTTGCTTCTGGTAAGAAAGCCTCCCAGTACTTTATCAGCTGAAGAAAAACAAGAGACAACTGTGTGAGGCTCACCGTCATAATAAAAGGTTTCAGCTGCTTTATATTCCTTCCTAGTTCTGAATCACACAATCAAGACAGATGATATTAGCTGATAATCTGAATGAGTTAAACATGAAGCAACATTTCTAAAAATCAATTAGATCTGCTTCGTCAAACATTGAGTTTTACATTCCTTTTTCAATATACTTCTAAAATTTCTATCAAGAATATTGACTGATATATTAATTAAAAAATTTCTTCTCCCTAATTAATCAGTATTGACCCCCATTTTTTTTTTTTATTGTTACAAATTCAAATTATGCTGCACTTTTTCTGGATAATATCATCATCTGCATAGCCACAGACTTATATTTCTGACAGTGTTTTAGAACAGTCAAAAGTATCAAAACTATTGTTCATGCACATTTAACTGGTTTGACGAGAAGTACATTTGACTCTGCAATTATTAAGTCCTCATGTCTGACTTAAGAGAGACTCACCTGTTGCTGAGACTGAAGCAGAGACTCCAAGTACTTGATTATCTGTTTTTTGAAATTCTTGGTCTTTTCTTTCTGTTGGAGAGAATTTAAAAAAAAAGGGTGTATCATTTTCAACATTTTCAGCTGTCCAGTGTCTGAAGTGGAGGCAACAAGGATAAACACTGGTACCTCAAAGCGGACGACTTCCTTGCGCACAGTCGCAGAAACTCTTTCAAAGTCTCTCTCGTACTGCGTTACTTTGGCCTCCCACTGTTCTCAAGGGGAAAAAAAAGATCACAATGGAGTCTCAATCTAACAACTGTATTCATTTTTTCCTTTTAATTAATATGAACCCTAATGTTCATGGAAAAACCCACTGGGGTGATTCAAATCAAGCTCTCCATTACAAGTGATAACAGGAGGAGAAAATCAGTCACTCAGACATTGTCTCTAATCTTGAAAAGACCACATCGAACTCTGGAACTAAAAAGCATCTCAACCTCATCCGAGTTATTTCCACTTGTTGTTTTTGGCCTGTGTTGTACCTCAGCAATCTCCTCTTTGGCCAGCTGCAGCTTGTCTGGCTTGTTGGCCCACAGCAGTTTGGCCTCAGTCTCTCTTTTCTTCTGCAGCATGGCCTGAGCATCCTGCCAGCGCTGCCACACCTTCATCCGGTGATCAAACGACCCCTGCAGGTTGCAAACACACAAAGAGTCATTTATGTTTATATTTGGCTACTTGCTTTATGAACTTTCCCTTTGACTGTCATTTTTCATCTCTGTTAATGGACATTTTCTGTATTTAAACTACGCGAGGAGCTCTGACGTCCAGTAACTGGCTCAGCAAATGTTCTCAGTACCCTCACGGCTCCCAGCAGACGGATGTAATCTGCGATCAGTTCTGCAAAGCTGAAGGTGTCGTTTGCAGCCTGGTCCTGGTGTAACTGCTCCATCTTGTCCTCCACCTCGGCCAGCTGGGAAAGAGCTCGGGAAAGAGCGGTGTTGTCTTCTGCGCTGCCCAGCATGGCTGTACTCTTGGCAAAGCTTGCTGTGTTCAGTGACAACTCTAAAGAGAGGAGGAGCGAGTCAGAAGTTACTGCAAACAGAAGAATTTTCACACTGTTTATGTGTGACAACTAAGAGATTAACTAATTTGTGACCATGGGACACAGAAGTCCAAATGTGTTTTATATTTCTAATCATCTTTATATTTGCAGGTGGGTTCCTTTATAAGGATTTAATTTAGGGGAAAGATGCATCACAAGCAGTAATAGGAATTTCTACATTCAACACCCTTGTGACCGCTATCTTATCTTAAGAACGATGATGTGACCAACTCAAAATGGACACCATTTTCTTGTATTTTGCAAACAAACATTATCAACAATAAGAATAACATTCAAATTGCAACCACAAAATGTACAAATCTGAAGCTACACAATCTAAATCTATCCATCAAAGCTGAAGAAAGCCTCCAAATGATAAATGACAACCATGACAGCATAATAAAGTAAGAAATGACACTTCCCAGTTGGGAAGAGGACGGCTAACCTTTCCTGTGCACGACCAGAGATTCGACCAGTGCGTGGAGCTTCCTGAACTGTTGGTCTGCAGATTCTACCTCCTGCAGCTTCTCTTCAAACCACTGAGAGGAAAAATGTCGTTAGTCCAGCACCAAGGTCTGGTGCTGTAATCATTATTCAGATTATATATTTAAGTAAAGGTATCATCAATGTACATCTGAAAAGTGAGTCAGACTACACACTGCTTTCCATATGATGTTGAAAGCCAAAAAGGATAGAAACTTCTGGTTCAATCTTTTAAAAAGTGGTGTATTTTAAAAGCTGTATTCATTGTGTCCTCTGAAAAGTCGCTGATATGAAGTATAAAATCACATAACATGGAAATACTCAGGTAAAAACACATCTACTTTCCACTACTGTCAAGATCTGTGTGTTTTTAAATTCTATTATACTTTAACATGGTCATTTTTAAGTTAGATTTTAATATTTCTCTCAGTCTGCTACTGAAGATTGGCTTCTGTGACAGCAACAGCAATATTACTGAAAATAAATCCCACAACTATAAATAAAGTATGTTCTGGTATTGTGCTGTTTCATGCTTCTCTCTGAATGTGTCCTGTGTGTTTAGCTGGAAGTCTGTACTCATGTTTTACTCAATGAAAATGTGTGCTGGTGCATCAGAGCTTCTCTGGAAAAGAAAATGCTGTTAACAGCCGGAGTGTGTTTACAGCTGAACTCACCACGTCTGACTCATTCATCTTGATGGTCATTTTACTGACAGCATCTGTTGCTTTGTTGATCATTTTGAGGAAGCCGGCGCCGCTCAGAGCCTGGGTGCTCACTGCCCTGGGCAACTGAAGGCACACCACATGTTACCATGCAGCCATAAGCAGATTGCACTCAGAAATAAAATAAAACTTCTGATACAAAAAGGGATGAGATAGAAGTAAAACAGCAGCAGAATAATGCATCTTCCTAAATGTGCTCCCTCAATCTGAACGCAATGTCTAAATGCAATAAAGATAATTTGATGAGGAAATGACTTTGTGCTGTGTATGGTATTAAGGGTTAAGTCACAGTGACCCAGGCATAAAAGGAAATGTTCTTACTTCCTCCCTCTCCAGGAACTCTCTAACATCAGGATCTTGGATAAGTGATGGGTGATTTACCACCCTCTGCAGATACCTGTTCAATGAGAAAACATGAAAAAAAAACTCAATTTCCTGCATTATATAGACTCTGCAGCATCACAGCAGCTTTGTATTGTAGAGAGCGGAGTACCAGGTACGTTTCTTATTTCCCTCAAAAAACAAGTGTGTGGTTTTTGTAACTTCATTGTTCTATCTATCTCACCTTTCCAGAGCACCCCTCCTTCTCTCAACAAAGTCTGCAGATGAAGAATCTTCTTTTCCCACCTTCACCTTTGTCATCCCTATGCAAGACAACATTTATTCTCTTAGCTGACGGAGATCAAACTCCAAGTTACAGATGACATAAACAAGAAGGAGGGAAAGGCGAGCCAGTCAGCCTACCCAGGATGCTCTTCTCTGGTGGCGGAGGCACGATGAATCCATTTGGTCCATGTTTTTCTGAAAGCTTCTCGTAGAGGCCGAGGAAGTCGCTGAAGCGTCTCCTCACTGTAAATGTCTTGTTGCGGAACAGGGGCAGTGTTGTCTGAAACACACAGCATTTTTTCCTTTAAGTTTTGGAATAAAAAAAAAAAAAGACATAACGACATTTTATGTGTCTACAGTAGCAGGCTAATGTTTAGTGAACTACTGCCATAAAATTGTGATGTAATCACTGTTTGGCCGATGTGTGGGCATTTCTCCAACAGAGCGCTGACTAGTACTTCCTCTCTTAGCACACTGTTACCATACATCTGATGAGTTACTGCACTGACTTCCTTGGGAATACAGATGGCAAACTGCCGATCAAGCAAAATGATTTATGCTGACAAGGGTTTACCTGTGTGGAGACTTTGTAGGCCATGTAAGCATTCATACCATCCCCTGAGGAAAAAAAACAACAACAATACTTTAAAAAGGTACAAACTGATAGAAATAATTCCAATACCTGGTAACTTTACTTCTTTTTTTAATGGTGCACAAAGTAGTTTATAGTCTCACTGCAATACATTTAACAAATCCCAAAACATTATGCATTTAAAACTAATCTTGAACACTAATTTGGTAATAAAAATACTAAACCTCACCTATTTTTTCTGGGTCTTTGACAGAAACAAGGATGTCAAATTTGTCTTCCAGCTCTGCTTCTTCCTCTTCTTCCAACTGAAACAAACATCAAACAGAAAGTGAACATTGACCAGGTGTACTTCTGTTCATCGCTCATTTTCTTTAGCAGAAATATGAAAAAAGCTCCAAGTCCTTAAGAAGGGGGAAAGCTATATGGTTTAAGAGTGGCTGAAAGCAACCTCATCTTTCCTCAGTTTTTCAAAATTGCAATATTTTGGGAGAATAAAATGACAGATGCAGGAATAGCAAGCCCTCTAATGCGACTGATTGTAGTCACACTTGGAATTTCAATCTGCGTTCAGATACCTCTTCCAGGGCAGCAGACTGTGGCTTGGCCAGGCTGGCAGCTGCAGACAGGGAGGTGGGGGCGGAAGCAGACGGTTTGGCCGTCACCTCGTTCTTTCTCTCGTTCTGCGGACTGTCGAGAGAAAGCTCCACTGTGGCTTCTGTTTTACCAAAGACAGAAACAAAAAAGACAGACTAAGGTTATAATATGCTGCAGCAAATGGAAATGTGTAGAGAGGCTCATTACTTACTTTATATAGCAGACTTTTCCTTAATAAAACATGAGGTTTTATTAGCCCTGTTACAAATCTACAATTATTCTGCATGACTCACAGACAGCTGTATTAACATCTGTGTGGGTAACAGGAGTAAAATGTTCCATGTGTGTTAATATGGGAGCAACATAAATTGAAGATTTAACTGTAAAACAAAGTTTATTCTCTTGATTTTCAACAGAACCATTCAGGAGTTCTTAAATGGACATTTCATCAAATTATTCTTCCTTTTAACAGATACTTTAAAACCATTCATTCAAACTGAAACAACAACTGAGAGTTTGAGGCTAAATATGAAGACGCCCCATCTGACTGATTCCATCTTTGGGATATTACAAACTTAAATCCTGATTAGAGAGAATATAAAAAGGAATTCTAGACCTGAACCTGGGTTAATGCAACAGATCAAATATTCTAGAAAGAGGTAGCACTTGAGCCTTTAATGTAGAACATTTCACCACAGATAATGTAAGGAAAGAATAAAAATGAGGCACCTACCAGAAAATATATCCGCATCCTCCTCAGAGTGGACTCCATTGGTCTTTGAGTTGACAGTGCTGGTGTTGCTCATGCTTGGCGTGGTGGTGACGGCTTCCTCAGTGAAGATATCTGCAGGTTCTGCAGTTTTACTGTCCTGCAGAGGTCCCCCGGCAGGAATGGCAGCAGCGGCAGCAGCAACAGGAGCAGGTGCAGCAGCAACTTTGGTGACAGACTTCTCCTTCTGCTCTTTACTGACAGTTTTCTTTGAGATGGCACCCAGTGGCTCACCGAACAGATCCTCATCCGGTTCACCGAATAGGCTTTTCTGTGGTGGCTTGGCAGATTTAGTCTGCCGTGGTTCTGCGAATAAGTCGCTCCCCTCATCTTCGAACAGGTCGATTGTTGCCCCGCTTGGTTTTTTGGCATCAACAGCAGGCGCGGGTGAATCATCGCTGAGGAGGTCAACCAACGGGTTGGTGATTTTGTCACTGACAGGTGGTTGCTGTGTGTCGCTAGCTAGCAAATCTCCACTGAGATCGATTATTGGAGCAGTGGAAGTTTCTTGTGCTTCCTCCTCAGCATTGCTTTCTGTTTTTCCATCACCAGGTGACTCTGTAACAACACTAGTAACTTCACTTTTAGCCACTGCTGCTTCAACAGTAACATCCGCCACCACCACTTCCTCTCTCTGCGCCTCAGTTTCACTTCCCAATATGTCAACAAAGTCATCTGAGGGTTCATCTAAAGGAATTTCAGCAACGGCACTCTCAGTTGTGACGCTTACGTTGTTTGTTAGGTCGACAAAATCATCCGACGGTTCACTCACGACTTCGCCCGCTGGTTTGTTTTCTGTTTGGCTGCTGATAGGCTCAATCAAAGGGTCATCCATGATGTCACTGGGAGGCTTCATTAAAACGTCGCTGGGTTGACTGGCAGGTTCCAGTGTGGTGTCCATTTCAGTCAGCAGAGGGTTGCTCTGGAGACAAGGGGGGATTATTACTATAAACATTATTATACAATTGTTTCCATGCCGCACCATAAACATGGACCTGAGAACAACAGAGAAACAATATCAGGCTGCCTATTCTTAAAGCAATCCTGCAACACATTCCACACCTTATGCATTCAGCGGTGTGCTCTCCACATCCTGAATATTTCCATTAAAATGCTGCTTAGAGCATAATGCATACAGAATCATCAGCCTTAAACTTAGTCAAATGCATTGTGCTCCTGAGAGGCTTTGATCACTTGTTGCTCGATACTTCCAGCATGATTTTAGGGGAAAACACATAATCTGGTGCTGGTACTGTAAGTGGTGAATGTGGCTGCCTCTTTAATGTTGCTGTAAATGTATGATTTATTGGTTTGTTTCATTCAGACCAAGAATGAAACAGCCCAAGAATAGCTTTGTAAATAAGAACAGGCCAATAATTAAGTCACTGGGTGGACTAGGCAGACCATCCAACTCAAGATTATAATATGCAATGGTGTGTCGGTGATTACAGAAACAGTCTTTTAATACTGAAAAGTAAGGAGCTTGTAACTGGAGAAAAGCAAAAACAAGCTGAAGCATTTATCATGTTTCAGAAATAGCTTTGCCATAGGAGTGCTCACAAAGAACGGACTGATAATGGATTTCCACTTAGCTGCCATTCGATTAAGTGGGTCAAGCTAAGACTAATGCAACAAACACTTTCTACTTTTCTAATGTTGCAATTGTGGAAACTTTTTACAGTGGTATTTATTTAACTTAGCAAATGATATAGATTCTTTTAGATGTTGAACTGTGCTGTGTACGGAACTGCACCTAAAGATTAGTTTTATTGGGAGATGATTATTTTCTCATTTAATCTATTTTTTGCTTTGTCAATAACGTGTCAGAAAAAAGTGACAAATGTTGATCTGTGATTCCCAAAACCAGATATGATGTTCTCAGGTGTCTTGTTTTGGTAACAACCCAAAAATCTTCAGTTTACTGTCATAGAGGAGGAAGGAAACCAGAAAATATTTACATTTACAAAACAGTAATTAGAGAATATATGGAGCTGCACGTGTATTAGAGCTGAGAAGATGAGATGATTGACAAAAAGTGTGCATTTGGGTTTGACGAATAGTTTCAGCCAAAGCTGTGAGAAAAGCCAAATACTTCCTTTTCTTCTTCCTATATTGCTTTAAACTGAATATGTGGGGTAGTGTTGGACTTTTGGTGAAACAAAACAAGACATCTGAAGATAGTGCCTTCAATTCAGCAGAACTTTTGGAAATTCAGTCTACTGTCATAAAGAGTAAAGAAACCAGAAAATATTCATATTCAAAAAGCTGGAATCAGACAATTTAGATTTCCTTGTCTTAGAAATTTACTCAAACTGATTTATTGACAATGAAAAATAGTTGCCAATTAATCTTATAGTTGACACCTAAACAATGAATGTTGCAACTCTAGATGTAAATATAGAAAACACTGCAAACCCCTCTCATCTGCAGTAGGTGCCCCTAGTAAACTGACAAATAAAAAATACAAACGTCCTGTCACATGCTTTGGGTGTAGCTCCTCATTATCTTGTTGAGCAATAGTAAGTCAATGGTTTCTTAATGCAGTATCTCTGCAAAAGAAAAAGAGTAAAGGATGGACTGAACAAGACTCATGAAGCAGGAGATCACTCGGAATCCATTGCTCCATTTCCCAACATTGCTTCTGCTGTGAGCTCCGTTAACTGAAACATCCTGAGTGCTGACTCATCTTCTTTCGTGCAGCGCTGCAAAAAAAATCAAAGACAGCAACTTTCCAATCTCTCCTCTGAACTTTGACTTTGGGAAAACATCCGGGTTCTGACCATGTGACCACAGCCTACTCACATGACAGCAGGCAGCCTGAGCCAGATTGTTAACCCTCATTGAAACACACAGACTTTTGGGGATTTTAACCAACTAATGAACATGCAACAGTCCTCTGACTGTGCCAACTATCAGTAAACAGTCAAACCGCACTGACCTCATTCCCTGCAGACGGCTGTGGTTGGACTGCTGCCTACTTTACCTTTGCATGGCCTGACAGTTTGCACAAGCTGAGGGGGGAGACCCTAAGATCTGGTGCATGTTAAGCTGAGAGAGGGAAAGTTTCAGAAGATGTGCTGCACACAAAACACCCACATAAACGGGAAGTACGGTGTGACCTGCTTTCCAGAACAAATCTCGGCCACAGAGTGCTTCACAGTACAACTTAGACAGACAAATCAATAGGGCGTTTGTAGCCTGTCAGAGATCAACGTCTCTCAGTACACAGGTAGGACAGGGCATCAAAACCCACACACTGCTCTGATTATTGAAGTTACAGGAAATGCTAAGAGTCAAACATTGCCTGACAGTCGCTTAGTTCAACGTTATTTTCTTCTTTTAATGTTTATTGCGCGTTTGAACTCGCTAAACGTCGGTGAACACCTTCTGAAACTTTCGCTCCAAGTGCTTCTCATTAGCTTTCTTCGTTGACGTTAGCTAACCAGTTGGCACCTTCCCCCCTACAGTAAGTTACCGTCAGTTAGCTAAAGCAGAGGCGGGATAGCTAGCGAGAAATTAAACCGAGACATACCGGGCTCGTGAACGGGTCCTCCCCGTCGTCTTCATCACTGTCTCGGCCTGCCATGTCTTCCGTGTCCAGCACATCTTGGTCCTCGGAGTCGGGGAACGGAGGAGGACTGCGCTCCGAGCTGGTCGCCATCTTCAGTCTGTTTTAAAACACAAGGGGAGGTAACGTCAACGGCTGCCCTCCGCTCGCTCTCTAGACGTGTCCGCTGAGTTAGCTGCTAACGCTACCTCCGCCGCTTGCTGACAGGCTAAAAAAGCTGAGCTACTACACGGGGGCTTCACCTCGGGTTGGGACAACTGAACCGAACAGATCGGGGGAGGAGAGACGCCGCCGTGGACGTGCGAGTCGCTGCTGTCTTTTTACTTCCTGGTCCTCCTTCTCTGCCAGGTTAGCCTCAGTGTTAGCTAGTCAGCGGGGCTTGGCAGTCATGGGACTCATGTAGCGGTTACAGCAGTAATAATGGAGGGGACGTTTAGCTGAAGTTAGCTAAACTGCCTGCAGCTCAGTGCCCATATTAGAGGCATCCGACTTCCAGAGGGGGGATGTCTCGGCACACCGGGGAGACGGAGGCTCGGCGGCCGCTACTCGTCGGAGCTCACCTGGATCCGCGTGAGCTGGACTCGGATGAAGGTAAACGTGTGTCTCTCCATCACTTCAACACAAAGTTTAACAAGAGGAGCTTTCAGAGCCTTTACTACCAAATGGCATCAGGAAAATAAAATATTAACAGCACAAGAGCTGTCTCTACAGAGGACCTGCTCTTATCTGGTAAACCATCACGGGAGGAATTAAAAACACTCATCTTATACCGGAGCATTCACATATTGTGTTACTTTACACGTATGTTCCACGACATTTCAGATAGAAGTATTGTGCTTTTCACTCAGCTATATTTACTTAACATAGTTTGAATAGTTACTTTTCAAAATAAAATGCTACATAAACAAACTGAGCTTAGAATGAATGGTTAATGATTAAACCAGAGGTATTAACATCTACTAGTGAACCTTTTAAAAAAATATATAAACAGAAAACCAATGTCTGATCACGAGCTATTGTCTGGTTGCTGTCCAGTACTCGAGTAAATGTAACGTTACTTTCCACCAACTCACATGGGCTGCATTCTTTTCTTCACTGGTTATTTTCAATTTCAATTCAGTTCAAATATCTTTATTTATCCCCTAGGGGCAATTCAAAAGGTCACTGAGTATTTCATATAAAGACATCAAAAGTGATATTAATTTGTATATTAATATTGAATAATCTTAATCTAGAGATGAAGCAGTTGATCCATGAACTAAATTGACTCTTTTATTTGACACATGAATTACAGTAAATCCAGTATCTTTGGACAGCAGATGTTGATTGGTCAGCTCATTTTTGTCCCATTATTGTCAGGTGTTTGTGCAGAAGTTTGAATAGTTTCACTTCTGAATTAATGCTGATTATTTGCTGTTTAATGAAGTTTCCCAGAAGCCAGCAGACCTTGTCTTGTGCTGTGGTTTGTTTTTTCTGAGTTACTGTAAAACAACTTTGTGGAGGAAATGCACCACATGATTGAAACATATAAACTGTAAAACAAATACTTTTAGCTTCAGATTTTGTCAAATCCACATTACTACATATTATTGTAGATATTATATGGTAATATACATTTTTTACATTTTTAAACAAAATTGCAAACATTAAAATGACCAAAACTGAAACAAGGTAACACTGGGACATTTGTTGTCTGTACTGAAACGTCTTTCTCATATTTTCACACTAAAAATCATCTAACTGCAAACAAGCTGACTGAAGCTCACCCAGTCTGCCGTTAGCTCATTACCTGTTATCCTAAAGACATTAAATTTGTGGCTTGATATGTTTTACCATCAAAATGAAAGGCTGAAGCATCTTTAATGTCTTCAAAATCTCTTCTGCCTTTAGTGTTAATTTTACCCGTCATGACATGTCTGTGTGTTTTGTTGCTTCATAGGTGAAGTAATTTTCGAGAGGAGAGCGTCAAGCGTCACACACGGAGAGGGAGGGAGCACACTGAGAAAACTAACATATGAGGAAGCAGTAGAGGAAGCAGGTGATCTACAGTTTTTGTGTTACTGTACTTTCTGGATGGAACATTTAAGCTTTGTAAAACTAATAAGTCGGTCATCAAATACATATATGACAACTTATATTTGGTTGCATGATTATAAAAGTTTTCATGCAGGTGTCTGCCAAACTGGATTTGGCTGTGTCTTTAAAACTTGCTGTAGTTTGAGGTATGATGTTACCTTCTGTTTGAACAGGTGTAACATGGAGGTGTTTGCTGACTACATTTCAAAAAGTAGCTTCAGGTGATTCTTTTTCAGGTAGCTTCTCTCTTTCACTCTATGTTCTGCTTTTGCTGTCAGGTTTTGGTTTGTTCCACTGGCTGCTGCTGGTGGTGTGTGGTTGGGCCAATGCCAGCGACGCCGTGGAGATCCTCTGTGTGTCTTTTCTCCTGCCAACAGCGCGCTGTGATCTCCTGCTGAGCTCTTCAGACATGGGCCTGCTGACGGCCAGCATTTTCCTCGGTGAACCATTTAATAAACCGTTTGACCTCCACTTTACAGAAAATGAATCAGTGGTTCTTTTTGCTAATTGATGCATTGTTTCAAGCAAAAATGCCAACTTGTCTTGTTTCATCTTCTCAAAAGAGACATTTTGCTGCTTTTGTGTTGACATATATGACAGCTGAACATGTTTGTGTTTCTGACTGTTAGTGAGACAAAACAAGGCAGAGTGAAGCTCTGACAAACTGAAAGGCATTTTTCACTGTTGATTCATTGATTTCTTTATTTGTTTTACATAATACCTTTTGCAAAACCTACAAGGCCTATTTGGGTCTCTGCTGTTTGAATGTCTTTTATTAGCTTACTTACATTACTAAAATGATACCAATAAAACCATAACTACATAGATAACCAGACTGAAACTCTGTTTTGTGGAAAACTGACTTAATTCTTAAGGCACACCTTGAAATCCAATCCAAGTAGAATGGTTAACATAAACACTAAGGTGGAACTTAACAGCAATAAAAACCTCAGACTTTCCAGTTTTTGGCCACATCTTGTGCCATTTTATCTATTTTTGCATGTATTAAACAAAGTAGGTGTAACATTTTTATTTCTAAAATTTCAAAGTGCTGTTAGGAGGATGTTTGCTATGGACACAGCAAGGCATACCATTTCCTTTTTTAAATTTTTTTTTACAGTTTACAGTTTTAAGCTAAGCTAACCATTTTCTGGTTAACATGTGACATATTGAAACTGAACAAATGTAAACTCTTTACAAACATCCTTTTTTTTAAAAAAAAACTTGTAAAACAAAACAAAACAAAAACTTTTAACACAATTTTTCAACTATGTGTGAAAATGGATTTCATTGAACATACATTTTTAGTTACCAGCTGAGTTTTGGGATGTAAGACGTCCTTAGAAAAAGGAGCAGCATTGAAAGTATCTAAAACAACATACCCTGTTACACCTATGTAGACATGTGGAGTCCAAAAGGATGAACTACAAGCTTATTATATTTTGTTATTGACATTAACTCTAGTTGTATAATTATTCCTCTTTCTAGGAATGATGGTGGGTGGCTACATGTGGGGATACTTAGCTGACCAGAAGGGCCGCCGCAAGGTCTTGATCGTGTCCCTGACAGTAAACGGGCTGTTTGGAGGTCTGGCCAGTGTGGCTCCATGGTTCTGGCTCTTCCTGCTGCTGCGGTTCATCAGTGGCATTGGGTGAGCACATGACTTTTATAGTTTTGCATTTCTATATTTACATGTGGTCATTTCGCTGACACTCACACACTGAGTGAGATCTGTTTTAGTGGTTAGAGAGACCATGATGCAACTAATAGGTCATAGTTTTTAGTTCTACAGTGTCTAAATGTTCTGTCATTAAGGACATTATGTCAAAAATGAATCAATCAAGTTAGCACTTATGGACTGGTCGAATTTGACTCATAATGCAGTCGTTTGCACTAGTCAGCAATGCATCTCTCTTCTGTAGCGTCGGTGGGTCGATCCCGGTCATCTTCTCCTACTTCTCAGAGTTCATGCCCCGTCTGAAGAGAGGTGCCATGATCAGCGCTCTGGCCACCTTCTGGATGGCAGGAAACATTCTGGCTGCAGGTGGGAGCAAAGAAACAATACCATTGTTCCAGGATGAAAATATGATTTCAGAAAAGCTGTAAACGCCACAGGTGTTAGTGTGTGTGTTTGTGTTGTTTTACACATTAGATAAGACATTTTAACTTGCTATAGTAGAAAAAGCACAGGTGGACCCATTGACATGAATAATCGGCTCATTTTTATTAAGGTTTCCCAGGGTAATGGTGACACTGAGTAAATTAGTCC